CCACCCTGCTATTCATCCCGTGGGTGTCGTAAGAGCCGACTAAGGGAGCAAAATAAGTAGAAAAACAGCTCCGTAAAAAGAAGGAAAACTGGATACAAACTCTATACCAATCCGTCTGGCCAGCGTGGAATAGTAGGCGAAAACCTCCTTTCTAAGGAGAGGCCTATGTCAAGCAGTGGATTATGAAAGACTGTTGATAATGATGATAAAATGTGTATAGGTAAAAGGGTCTTGCAAAAGAAATATGCAGTAGCTAAAGTAAAACGGCAAGGCAGCGGCAGTCTTTAAATTGTTTGTTTGTTTTTTTTTGTATAAGAGACCCTTTGACTTTTTTGTGTTAATTTAAAAATTCGGCAGTCCGATTCTTACATTAGCTATGCAGTATTTTTACAAAATCGGAACGTAACAAAGAGTGAATGTAAGTGGAAAGTAAGTGGTTTGTCGCTACGCTGTTTATTTATTATGTTGACTGGCGACCAATAACGACTGTATTCTATAGTTCAATGATTGCATTGCCATGCTTGCTTTTTATTCGGTCTGTGCTGTGATTTTTTTAAGAATTCTGTCCATTTTTTAATATATATAGTTTCAGCACCCACCAAACCTGTGTCCTGCTACAGAAGTTTATTAGTAGTACCTTACAAACAGTTCAGGTATATATTAGAGTAAAACTACTATCAGTAGACAGTAAAGCTTTATGTATTTTATAGGAACGAAGTTCCATATCGCGCTTTACACGCTTTGAGCGCATGGATGCCATACCAAAACTGTGCACGAAGACTTCTTTCCCACACTTCAATTGCACACATCTTTTTCATATAAAGCGAAAGGAACTTCGTTTCGCCCGGGTCCGTAGGTCTGTTTCGCGTCCATAGACCCTTCACTCGTTTTTTCTCTAAATCATACGACATTACGTAATCATAAAGAGGATTAATCACCTAATATTAAGTCCAAGGTACGAGTATGTTACATCGGCACGATCTTCTTATCTGGTAGTGGAGGTTCATCAGATAAATGTTTCCCTAGACCCCACAGTGAAGTAGAATATTCTGGAGGCACTAAATCTGAAAAAGGCATTATGTTTTTGAGGGTGAATAAAGCCTTCGGCCTCTAAACAATATGATGACATATATGAAGTTTTACAAGATGCTAGTAGCGAACTATTATTTTTACTTTGCTAAACAAGTGTAGAGCTTACAGAAATATATTTGATCAATCCAGCTATAGTATAGCTATAGTACAGGATCTGTCTTGTTTTGGATCACACGGCCGTGAAAAAGATGTCTGTATGGTGTCTTAAAATTGTAACTGATGTGGCCGAAATGACATTGTACTTGCTAGTCATGCTTGTTGGGGGACTTTTACAAATTCTATTAATTTTCATGAAAGTAGATACTTCATTTATTGAGCTTTTTATGATAAAAAATCCTTATCATCTTTAAGCGTACAAGCAATAGAAATAAAAGAATACTGTTTGTTGTGACTGCAGAACTGATTGACTGATTTGCAGAAAAATGATTTAAAACTTTTCATATGAAAGTTACATTTTAAAATTTAAGAACTATAAGATGTACGCTCAAACATCTTTATCTGTGGAATGGACATAATACGTCTCAAATAAAAAATCTAATGATCATAAATTGGCAAACGAATTCTCTAGTAAGGTTATGAAAAACAGGTGTTACAACTTACTGAAAGCTAACAGTAGTATACATACAATTAATAAGACACAAGCCCCGGTGACCATTATGTACGCTACGTACAGAGGCATACTTTCAACGGCAATACTGTAGACACAAAATTAGAGAGAATTAGAAATGAATGTGTGGTCCCAGTCCCCAGCACGCTAGAAACTAGTAACTAGTATTGTACTAGTAATTAGTACTGAGACTTCTCCATCTCAAAAAACCTTATCACAGAGATTTATTAAGCAAGTAATATAAGACTGTATTTTTTACTGTACATTTTTATGATTTTCATTCTAACATGTACCTTCGACTGGCGAACGCCTAATTATTCGGAGTTGCCGAGGCAAGGAAGGTGGCAAAAGCCTTAATCCAGGAGCCGTATGTGAGCAGCATCCAAAGTATGCGAGACTATCGTGGGGCGCGTATATTCCAGGCATTGGAAGGCGTTCTGGACACTGTTCGAAGACTGCGATTGCAGTCTTCGAACAGTGTCCAGAACTCACCAAACACAACACCGTAGTAGTGAGGATCCGAAACTGAGACTTCACGGTGGTCTCCGTTTTCTACGAGCCCGAAAAACCCAAAAGATGGTTACCTCGAGCGTCTCCGAGACACCCAGCGGAAGCTAGGTCCCCGAGGCCTGCTCATTGGTGGGGATGTAAACGCCAAGAGTTCTTGGTGGGAAAGTAACACCAAAGACAAGAGGAGAAGAGTTGGATTTGCAGGTGCTCAACAGCGGCAACACATCTACGTTTTATACTGTAAGAAGCGGTAAGATACGCAGTAGCTACGTAGATCTCACTGTCTGCTCAGCGGATTTATTCGGATTGGTGGAGGGATGGCCAGTAGACTCCGACCATAGCGGCATTGTATTTAACATTCGGCAAGAAAACAAAAAAAACACAAACACAACATCTGGCGTTAACATTAAAACAACAACCCGACTCTACAATGAAAATGCTAATTGGAACCAGTTTCATGAAAACCGGCCCAATGACAAATGGCAAATAAAATTCACAAAATTAACATAGACAATAAAATGATAAAAACCAGTTTGATGAAAATGTAGAGTCAAATTTGGACGTCATTTAAAAAGTATGGGAAATTAGTATTCTAAAAAAGAAACGCAAAAACAAACTTGCTTTGCCTTTGTGGTCGGATGAGCTCGCTGCTTTGAAGTGGGAATGCGTCACCAGGAAGAGGAGAATCCGCTGTGTACCTGTTTCTAAGTACCTGCAAAAGAAAAGCGTATATGAACGGTTAGCGAGGTGTGCCCAAATCTAGAGTCAGTCCAAGCAGGATTGGGCCTTTCCTATCTTGCTTGGTGCAGAAGTCTTCACTGAGAACTGCAAAGAGGCAGGAGGACGTAGCCCTGGCCTACCACTTAGCCCCGCCAAATCTGAATCTCACCTGACGGAGACGTTCTTGGGAAAAGTCCTGGAGAAAATGGTAGCAGCAAGACTTCAGTACTCAGTACTCACCAGTATGGCTTCATGTCACAGAGAATCAAGTACAATACTAAATTTAATAACTTAAATTACTAACTTTATATCACGTGTGATTAAACAGATATAGAACTTTTGAGTAAGTATAAAATTTCAATACATAAATAGTGAGGAACTATTGACTTTATTAATTATAATGCGTATCGCGCGTCTGTAGTTTACACAACGGTTCACGTACCGTTCGCACTTTACTCAAGTTTAATGATGCAAACCAGAAAGCTTGCCTACTATGCAGTTTGAAAAGAACTTCCTCCTGTGAATGCTAACCAACTAGACGCAGCTGCCGTGTATTCCCTATGATTAAAAATGACTAAACTTAACATACTATACTTCGTAACGTAACTATACTTCGTAACGTAACTATACTTCTAACGTACTATACTTCGTAACGTAACTACTTGGAATTATGGATCAGCTAGAGCCACACAATTGTGCGTTGCAGAAAGCCACATAAGTGACAATGAAAACAATAAGCTCTATAATAATTGTAAAATGTCGATCCAAATATTTAAGAAAATAAATATCCGTTGTTAATTGTGTAACACGATAGTTAGTAGGTACTACTGGTTCCTTTATTGTTTCAACTTCCGTGCGTGCCCATATAGAGGTGCAAAACTATGAAATAAATACAACAGGTGCGCAACTCATGCACGGGACTCATGCATACAAAGCAGTTACAAAAATGGGTGGGTTGAATTTTATCAACATTATTTGTAGCTGGCAAATAGTTCATTTTGTAAAAAAAATACATTTTAAAACTTTTTAATCAGTAGGCCTGCGTCAGGACTAATTCCAATTAATGTATAATTTGAATCAGTAAAGACGCAGGCGCGGGACTTACGTTATGGGCTTACCTATAATGAAGTAATTCGAAGCTTATTAATGTTTGCATTTTTTTTCGTACACCGATCAATAGATTTTACTATAATGACGTAATAAAAATATATAAAATATATTAGTCATGCAAATTCTGAGAATGTTTGATTTTTACTTTGAATGTTGATTGCTGCCCCTTGAAAATGTCAGTACGCTCTTACCCTGTGGTCCTGTGTCGGTTATCGCGGTAAAAAGTAGACTAAGTTACTCCTCCTAGCTTTCCACTGGTGAAAGATTTTTTTAAATTGGATTACTGATTTAGGCCTGAAAGCGTAATAAACAAACAAAATCACTTTTACATTTGTCATTAGAAGTACGGATCAGGGTTGTAGCCGTTTTACAGCTACACAAACGTTATACACAGAGCCTGTAAGAAAACATAAGGCAATATAACATGCACCGACTTAAGATTTACTATGTAGCTTTACAAGTATTTTATGTTTTATAATCAAGTTAGTAAATTATCACACGCTGGTACTTAACGGAGCCTAACTGCTTTATCACACCTTTAAAGGGGTTTAGGTGACCTTATTCGTCAATAGAAACCTATGCTAGCAGTGGTCTATAGTCGCCATTATTTGTGCGGTTATAGCATTATCACAAAATGGAAGGAGAATATATTCATCCTCATCCACAGCCTTTACTAGTCCATTGCTGGAGATAAGCCTCTCCTGAGAAAGGAGGTTTTGGCATACTATACCACGCTGGCCACACAGGTGGGTCTACACCAACCCGTGTGGCCAGCGTGGAAAACTTGAAAAAAAACCCTACGTTTGTTTCAAGTTTTCCTTCTCTTTGCGTTAAAAAAAGTATTATGGACATATGGCAAGAGGATAATAGTGTGTACTGCACTATAACTATTGTGTAATAGAAAGGACAGTAAATAAATGCAAAGTATTTACAAAGTATTTATATATTTTCTAAATAATATTTATAAGTGTGCACAACTTTTTGACATGTTCATAAACGTTTCTAAATAACGGATGCCCTTTCCTGTTCCCCACGTGGAAGTGACAGACCCAGTAAAGTTAGGGATCATATCTGAAAAAGTTATGACATATTTCATACTTATGATTAGGAGAGTAAACAAAAATTAAAAAGTACCTAATGCTACATAATCTCTCACCGAAAAAGGGAAAGGCATGCCTCCGGTCTTCTCCCCATTACATTAGATTTCTTCAGTCCCGAATTAAGTTCACTATTTAACACCCTGATGCAGCCGACACGGAGTAATGCATGATTTGATAATGGGGGAGGGGAGGGGGGAAGTGGGTTGGAACAAACTATAATTACTTACTTAGTTACTATAATTACTTAGTTAAATAATACTAGATGCAGTTATTAAAGGTAATGAATTTAAAAGTTCGCGCCATACGTGTGACAGGTGTAGAATAGGTGTACAAATTATAAAAACGTGCACTTGGAAGACTTGGTAATAAAACTTTGATTGTAATTTGTTTGTTATTCAAGTCATGAAAATTTGAGAATGAATTATTAAAACGGTTAGAAGAAAATGCCATGTTATGACCTTATTGAGCGGTTATTGACTGTTGGCGTATGTCGATATCACGAAGACATATCTACTATATTTAAAGAACAGGAAATTCTTTAGAATCATAAATACTAAGAAGGTTATACTCACTGGATGCTGCGAGTATAAGAAATGTAATAAATGTGACAATAATTATCACGCATATACTGAGCTGTATACAGAAGTGAGACATGGGATGTATTTGTAACTGTGGACAATCAAAAGTATAATGAGAACCAGATATACCTAATAGATTAGATAGATTGATAGATAGATAGATTATTTACAATTGATCTGTTTTAACCATATTGTTCCAACCGACGGTCACAGGCCGGGTGTAAAAAAACATATATAATATCGATCTGAAGAACTGTTCACAGTTAGAGTCAGGTATTATTTATTTATTTATTTATTTATTTATTTTAAACTTAATGCACATATTGTACAAAGGCGGACTTAATGCCATTAGGCATTCTCTCCCAGTCAACCTTCAGGTGATGTAGAAATATGATGCGGTAGGTGCAAAATAAAATATGAAATTAACATAATTTAGGTCCAGAAACATACACAATATAAAAACACACATGCATACATAAACCTACACAAATTTAATAAAATATATAAATACTCAGTCGGGAACTAGAGCTGTAACTATTTCGCCAATTCACCCCGAAGAAGATCGCGCACTTTTCGCTTGAATGCGAGGCGATTTGTTGACATCCTGATTTCGGCAGGGAGGGCATTCCAGAGGAGGACTGACTGGACGTAGAAGGAGGAGTTGATGAAGTTAGAGGTGTGAGGGGGGCATAGAAGAAGCATATTGTTGGTTGATCGAAGATTTCGATCGTGATTTAGGCATAGGAAACGGAAGTGGGGTACGAGGTATTCAGGTAACGATGGAGAGTTGAGGAAAGAAAAGAGAGAAGTCAGTGCTCGTAAACTGCGGCGCTGACGAATTGGGAGCCATTGCAGCTGGGAACGTAAAGCAGACACGTGGTCATACTTGCGAAGATTGAAAACGAATCGAATGCAGTTATTGAGAAGGCGATCTAGTTTATTGAGAAGGTCTGCATTCAGGTCGAAATAACACACATCACCATAGTCGATTATGGGAATAATTAAGGATTGCATAAGCGTAGCCTTAGTTTTAGCGGGAAGGAAGTTCTTCAATCGATATAAGGCACGGAGACATGTGGTGACTTTCTGGCCGACGTGTGTAACCTGTGCCCGCCAGTCAAGTGTCGAGTCGATATATAACCCCAGGTTCTTTACCACTGCACTATAAGGTATAGTCACATTATTGTAGACAACTGGTGGGATGACCGCCATATCCAACCTACTTATCATTTGTTTGCTCCCCACGACGATCACTTGACATTTGGTTGGATTTACCGACAAACCAAACCTCGTTGACCAGCTCTTTATAAAATCCAAGTCCTTGTTGACTTTGTCGATAGCGTATGTTATGTCCTCAACCCTTGTCTGTGTGTACACTTGTAAGTCATCAGCGTACAGGTGATACGTACACTGAAGGTGCTGGGTTATGAGATTAATGAATATTGAGAATAATAAGGGAGATAATATACCGCCTTGAGGGACGCCAGTGAGAAGATCACACCAACTCGACGACAAGTCATCAATATGAACACTCTGTTGTCGTCCCTGAAGATAGGAGGAGAACCATTCCAGAGCTTCTGAGGAGATCATAAGATAGGAAAGGATGGCCAGTAGAACGTCATGACTAACGGTATTAAAGGCATTCGAGAAATCAGTCAAAGCCAGCACTGTGACTTTAGTCTCCTCCATACCCTCCCTAATATCGCTTGTCACTTTGAGGAGAGCGGTGGTTGTGCTGTGACCAGGTCTGAACCCAGATTGTAAAGGACTAAGAAGATTCTGCTGATTTACAAACTGTGCGAGCTGCTTATGTACACAGGCCTCTAGCACTTTAGAAAGAAAGGGAAGTATAGAAATTGGTCGAAAGTGTTCGGGAAGAGAGGGGTTAGTTTTTTTGGGTAAAGGAATGATGAAGGCCTTACGCCAGAGTGAGGGAAAGGTTGCAGAGTCAAGGGAAAAGTTTATGATATGAGATATTGCTGGAAGAACGTGATCCAGGATGGTAACAATCATGCGACGGCTGATACCGTCACATCCCACAGCATTGGAACGAATGGATAGGATAATCTTTTTGATGTCCTCAGAAGATACCGGAGAAAAGTCAAAGGATTTAATATCAGGGTGGGTTAGACTAGCTATATAGCTCAAGGTTTGACACTTGGTTTGATGATCCAACTGAGTATTAAGCATGTACACAATGGTGACCCGACTTATCTAATTAAGCGCAGTTTGCTCGTAAGGTTACTGTGACCTATTAGAAATTGAGCGACACAGTGATTCACTTTAAGCTATGTCCTCGACAACCGTTCGCAAACTGATGGAAAGAACTGGTAAAGGTGGAATGAAATCTGTAACTTTGTTGTACGTATGGTGCTTAATATAGTAAAGTGCTAGTATAAAGTTAGTTAAATTGGTCTCCAAACCGTTCACAAATCGTCAAAATTCTGAGGCACTTTTAGCAGACACACAAGTTTCATAAACAGGGTGCAATGTTTGTATAATTATTTGCTAAAAGGCTTGTAGCGGTATGTTTACATAAGACTTGAAAATAATAATATTGAATGGACCGTAAAACCATTTGGTATTGAAGCAAAGTTATAAAAGGCCTAGCAACTTGAGGATTTTATGTTCTGTTTATGACGGAATACATTTATTTATTTTTATGAAGAAAAACTTATATTTGAATTACATATACAAAAGTTAGTTAATACTTGTTTAGATGAATGATACGTTACCTACTATGAGTAGATAACGTATAATTCTTCTGCAAACCATTCAACGTGGCAATGCTGCCAGTTTTATAGGAACGCGATGATGAATTTTTGATACTTGTATGTAAAATGCAAATGTTGTAAATATTTTAATTGCATTATAATATATATATTTTTTAGTTCATTTAAAATCCTGTTAATAATTATGTAACAAAGTATAATTTATAAGAAAATATATTGAAGTAATATAGTTATTACACTTTTATATACGTTACCTGCTTATTTTAATATAAAGCAGTCTTAAAGTTAAGCTTAGTTAAAAATTCAACAATATTTTTCTACCCTTTTTCTAGAAATTCAGTCGCTTGGGAAGATCATGACGAGAGTTTTTTAAATCCATTACACGGGGGTAAAAACTTTGCGATACGATTAAATATTGGTATCTTTCGCGTGGGTAGAGGAGCAATTGTAACAAGTAAACGTATCATCTAAAATGCTCAGAACATTATTCATACACTGATGTCTTATACCAGTAAATGAAAAACACTCTCAAGATCAATTTCGTTACTCACAATGTCGGTAATTTGTTTATCCTCTCATATCAATGCTTCAAAACTTCTCTAGTTCTAAATACTCATTACAAATCAAAGAATTATGACTATAACAACTGTAAATTACTTATACGGAAAATAGGGTTTCTTGCTTTTGTGATTCCAATATTATATTATTTATATTGTTACTTCAACAAACTTAACCTCAAACTATTTTTTTCTTAATATAATTCATCGCTTGGGTAACGACGAAGAGTTTACGAAGGAAGAGGTTTGACATTTTACTTAAAAATGTTAAGCCTCTTCCTTCGTAAAAGAAAGAAAGAACAAAAAATGGCAAACCTTTTCCTATATAGCCTTGTAATTTATAAATTGTAAGCTTTTATTATTATTTAGAATACTTATATTCAACAACAAATCAGATGTTGTGAATCAAGCGTGTTAACTGCTCATTACGGACTGGAGATTCAAATAAGAGGGGTTCAAAGTTCCATCCATCTAAACCTGGCAGCTAATACCTATGTTAAAAACAGATTTATCAAAGTTATCTTGAAATGGTTCGAGGGCAGCACAAAAAAGTTATGTTAGTCTAATCTAGGTCGTTGAGAACCTAGACCTAACTCCTCTTTTTTCTCTGTGCGTAAAACCCGGCTTACTTGTTCTTGGGTGACAGATGGTCTCACCTGTCACCCCCACGCCTGCGCTTATGGAGGACGGAGAACGTTCTGCGACCTCCGGCACCTAAGCCGTCTGCGGTACCTGGCCTGTTCCCGGGCGGAGAGAGAGAGATTTAGAACTAGAATTTGGAAGACCGGGAGAGTTCTGAACCTCTCACAAACATAACTTGTTCACAGAAGGAGACGGCGGAGTTCCACGCGTTCCACTCTCGCTCCGTACCATAACTGCAATCATGGTAACGCCTCTGCTCAATCTACGCCGGACATTCTGCTAGCGAGTGGAGCGCCGTGTCGACACTCAGGCGTTGGCTACTTGCGTATCAGACACGTGCGCGCTTTATCCTACGCTTGAAAACATAAAAAAAAAACTTGTTAATTCCCGTCAATACGCAACGCAAACGCAAACGGGAATAAGCAAGTTTTTGCCCCCATCACAACTTTTGTATTGACAAAAGTTGTAATGGGTTACAAAGAGCGACAATGACCTTTTTTGTTAATATAAAAGTGTTACTTAAAGGATATTGAGGTGTTTAAGGTAATTCACGGATACAAATTAGATCTTAGTAAGAACACCTGCTTCAAGAAACAAACAAATAAAATCTAATCAGTATTAGACATTTACCACAGAGCCATCTATATACTATTGTAACCATATCTACCCTTTAATGAGTTTCGATAAAAATTGGTTAACAGATAACTCAGACAGTTGAAAACGAAAGCTACTATACAGCCGCAAGTGTATATGTATATTACTAGGTAATATTTGATTATATGGTATGATAAATATAACTGATAAGATTAATTCTCAGTCGCATAAAGCCCTCATTGAATTCAGTCAAATTATGCACACAAGATATCATACTAGAGCTTAAAGCCGGATTCCTACGTAAGTAAATACTTATAACTTTTTTAAATAGTGATTCGTTTCTAAGCTTCATTTTATAATAGGTAGGTAAATTTGTCCATCGACTTTGTAGCCAGCTGCGAAATTAATAGTGGTTAAAATATTATCGTAATTTGTTTAAATTGTATGCCTGAAAGATTAAGTATTATATTATTTTTAATATACTATCTACTCATTTTTAAAATTCCTGATTTACGAGATATGAAAAAGTATGTTTGCAATCACACAAAATTTGTCAGCATAAAAAATGAATAGTCTTGGGAACATTTTAAATTTCTGTTTGTTTCACCACAGATAAATTATTTTTTAATTTTAAAATAGAACCTATTTAATAATTTAAACCAATGATAACACAAATATTACGTTGGCTATTGTAACTTCTTAGGAATTTTGCAAAGTCAGATTTGAAGACTATATAGGATATAAAATATGTAGCAAGTAAGGTAGGTAATATTGTTTTCTTTTTGATAAAGAGGGCAAAAAAAAAAAATAATGAACGTAATATAATGCTGAATACCTTGCAGGTGACATCTGGGGCGGTATACTATGGGGATCTTGTGTCAACTAGGGTGAATTTCCGTGCGTTTAGGCGATTCTGTCATACATATTATAGAAATCAAATATAGCTCACGTAGGACCCGTAATATTTCGTGGCCGTGGTGCTTCCCTGTTTAAAAGGGTGTATGCCCATTTTATTTCATTTTGTCTCCCGCTTTGCTAAGGAGGGAAGTGGATTTACTGTGTTTCCAACTCCTCCAATTTTCTTCTGATTAATTTCGTTGCGGGTTCCAAGACAGTTTAATTTCTTCCTGGGACTTCCCGAGTGTCATAACTCGGTGTGTTCGTGGGTCACTGCTGTGGATCCTGGTGTACAGGAGTTACAGTGGTGGGCATGTGGGCGGGATTAGTCCCAATTAAAAAAAAAAAAGAGGGCAAATGAGCAGATGGGTCACCTGATGGAAAGTATCTACCACCATCCTGCAACTCAGGAGTCAAAAGCGCGTTGCCGGCCTTTGAGGAAGAAGTACCCTCTCCTCTTCTCCTACTGCCTTTTAATATTCACAGTAATAATATCATATGATATAAGTGACTCATACTTAAAAAAATATTTTTAAGTTAGCCATTCCTTACAATTAGCTATACCCGCGTTTGTAGTTACTGTTCCGTTCCTTAGTGTCATTAATAGGCGTCAATACTATGTAAGAATTTAAAATTGCAATACCCATAATTTAGATACTTGGCTATTCAAGATACTTTTTGCCTCGCACAACCAAACTGTGGAAATAATTGCGGACCGACACAACCTTCAAGGCCAGCAACAAACTCATGATTTCTCGAGGACACCTCTAGTCCATGGACGGCAATAGTCACTTACCATCAGGTGACCCGCCTGTTCTTTTGCCCCTATGTCAACAAAAAGTACCATAACCGTCATGTGCCTTGGTTTTCTTTTCAGTAATCACCACCTAATCAGTTTGTACCAGACGTCTCTATGTGGCGATCAGAGAACAATTCGACAGACTCCTACATTTCGAAGGACGTAACTGAGCTTTCAATAATGATAATTATTGTATGCAGCATAATACTTTTAGCATTTATTATTTCAGTAAAAATACATTGATTTGTTCTGTACTATGTTTGGTTTAATTGTTGTAAAATGAAGATACATGGTATTTTATCAGTATTTTAAAAATTGAAACTTGTTAAGACCGTATACCGTACCAAAATATATTAGATTATGGATACAAAAACTCATTTTTGCAAACAAATTAAGTTAAATTTATCCTTCTGCAGAGACCTAATCAGGCAATTCAATAACATCCTAACACATCGCTCGATCCTGCGACATGTAAGATAGAAAAAAAAACCCGGGAATGTTTATTAAATTAACACAAAGGTCATCTGACCATTTTACTTGGCGTTACAAGGAACCGATAATTTTACTGTTTTTTTTTAGGTTTTCCTAGGTCGTGCTGCGACCTCCCGCGCCTGAGTCGTCTGCGGTACCTGGCCCGTGCCCGGGACTAGCGGGTCTGGAGAGTTCTAAGCCTCTCCCGGCCCCGCTGCGCCCCATCTCCTCCACAAGCATAATTTGCTCGAAGAAGGAGATGGAGGAGTTCCCCTGCTCCTCACCATGGCCGCAATCATGTTACCGAGCGAGAGAACCCCCCCACGGTCTGGCCATCGTTGCGGATCAGACACAGGTAAACCCCCAAAGTATCCTTGCCCAGTGATCAACTGCGTCAGCCAGTATGAGAGGGTCCCGTGATGCCTCTCGAGCCAATCCTCCATAATGGGTCTTACCGCCGCAATAACAGCGTGCCCGGCGCTCGGTTGCCCAAGTCGTTCCTTCCATTCCTCTACGAAGACCCGGTGGAGTTGGGATTTTTGGTCCTCGATTTGAGTCTGGACCTCGGATGATCGCATCCACGGTAGAGCGCCCCTTTTTGTTCTTTTTCGTCTGTGCGGAAATCCCTTCGGATACCACCTGGGTGGTTATGTCGGACATGAACCGACCAAAAACCTCACGCCGTCTCGGGTACCAGTAGCCGGGGACCAAATGTACCCTAGGAAGGAAACCACGACGGACCCCGGGCCATCTACGGCTTGTAGATGACCCCCTCGTGTGTGAGAACCACGGTGTTCCCCTTCTGCACCTAAAAGGCTCGCGCGCTCCACAGCGAGTAACGCCGCCACCCCGGCCTGCTTCTGCTAGGGTGACAGATGGTCTCACCTGTCACCCCCAGGCCTGCGCTTATGGAGGACGGCGGTCGTTTTGCGACCTTATGACTCTGATAGCCAACACTCGCTGCGGTCGCCGTAATAAGGCAAAGTTGCTGGCCTTCAGGGCCTCCACCCATACTGGTGCCCCATAAAGGGCCATGGACCGCACAACCTCCGAGTAGAGCCTCCTGCAAGAGTCATCGGGTCCCCTCATATTGGGCAGCAGCCGCGCAAATGCACGCGCAGGTCCAACCAGCTTGGGAACCAGACCTCGGAAATGATGTCCGAAGTCCCACCGGCCATCGAGTACGAGCCCCAGATACCTTATCGAGGCCTCGATGCCGATGCGAGTTCCTCCTACTATGAGGCTGGATCCTTGAGGTGGCTTTCTCCGAAGCCCATGAAAGCACAAGGCCTCGGTTTTGTGCAGAGCCACCTCAAGTCCCAGCCGCCGGATCCGCTCCACGACTTGGGCAACCCCGGCTGTGGCCTTCAGGGTTGCTTCACGGTGCGTGTCGCCGCATGCCGTCACAAGCGTATCGTCCGCATAACACGTGACAGCGACACCATCTACGAAGGCACTGCGAAGCATCCAGTCGTAGCCGATGTTCAACAGGAGCTGCCCTAACACCAAACCCTGCGGAACACCGCACATTTCACGCCGTCCGAGACCGGTACCGCCGTACTTGGGTAGACGACGGCTCTCTCCGACAAGTATGCCCCGACTATGCGGCGGAGGTACTGAGGCACTTGATGATACACGAGCGCCTCCCTGATGCAACTCCAGGGTAAGGTGTTGAACGCGTTGGCGATGTCCAAGGACACCGCCAACACCACTTCGCCTTGGGAAACTGCTTCCTTCGCCAGAGCCCTCACACGCATGATTGCATCCACGGTGGAGCGCCCCTGACGGAAACCGTACTAGTTGTCCGCCAGATCCGGACCCACCATGACGAGATGCTCGATGAGGCGCCTTGCAAACGCTCTTTCGAAGAGCTTGCACACCCCTTCAAGCAACACTATTTGCCGTTGCCAGGCGCCAGAGCGTGGGCTTAGGTTTTTTTATAGAGGTTTACGTCCTCGCGGATCCGAAGAGCCACTGGTCCTCTCCTTCAGAATTACGGCTGGGCCGGACGGGATCTGCACCAGACCGGGTCCGTCCGCCCCATGATTTTTTTATTAGAGGTTGCCTTCCTCTTAAAAGAGCCGTCATTCCTAACTGTTGCCAGTCAAGCTCACGACTTGGCCGGACGGTGGTGTGCACCAGACCAGTGTCCACCACCTCTGGACAAAGCCAGCGGCAGAGCACCCGCCCGCCCCTTAGCTTGCTCTCCACTATGCCCTCCGCCAAATCCTCAGGTGTCCCTCACACACGGAAGGCCGAATAACCCTCGGGAGGGCCGTTCCCACTTCGGCCGGAATTGGCCGTAGGTGCGCCTGTCCCACCTAGGGAGAGAGGCGCTGCCGTCTTCGTTGCCCAGGGTGCACTACACGAAGGCCTTATGAAAATTTACTTATTACTGTGATGGCTTCTTATAATTTTTAAAACCTTTTGTTCAATAAATATATATTTTTACTTTATTCCTGATCACTTCAATACTATTCCGAGTTGATTTCCTTATTCTCCCTTTTCCTCTTTTTACCAAGCGCAGAAACACTATCGTTAACTGTGCATATGTTCACCTACGACTCGACGTACAGTGGTGCCCACCCCTGTAAAGATATAAAAATTTCGAGAATAAATAAATAAAGATATTATAAGTACAAAATCACTCACCCATAATTACCAGCCAACTCTTCGAAGCATTTTAGCATCGATGATTGAATTTTAGCTACACGGTTTTTTTGGAGAGTCAAGTGGCTTCATAGATTTGTACCAATTTTACCATAAGAAAATCGTGTGCGTTACCCCAGCAAAATAATGTCGAAAATGGTCATTTAAACGTTATAGATAATTAGTTGCTCCCCTTGTGTAATTGTTAAGCACATTTTTAAATTTGTTTCTCTTAAACTTTTTTAGTTATTTCAAAAAAATATTTCCTGCTGGGGTAACGTTTGAAACGTTACCGCAGCCAGACATTTTCTTTTTTAATTGTAATATTGAAATAAATTTTAGCTAAATAATTAGTTATCTGGACTAGGTAAATGTTACAATTTATTTGGTATTTGTATTTTCTTCGGCTGCGAAGTTATTCGAGATCCTGCTGGAGTAACGTTTGTGGGTTTGCTGGATCTCTGAAACGGGTAAGCGGATTGTAACCATCTTTTGTACATAACTTCTTAAGGATTAGTTTTAATTTGTTCGACAGTAAAATAACAAAAATAATGGACCGTTTAAAAATTATTTAGGTAAGTATGAAAACACTTCAATACGTCCTAACACTTTGAATAAGACCTCTAAAGACTTACTTCAAACGTTATTCTATTGCTTGTAACTACCTTCAAATGTATACGAATTTTCGTAAGTATACTGTAAGTGACTAAAAAGTTGTGATGAAATATAGCTCTCCACGTTCACGATCACAATGTGTGCGGCCTTTTTTGGCCACCGATAAACCTGTGTGGGGATATATAAACTGAATGTTATGCCAATAATTAGTTGTTTAGTTCAGTTGTCTACCTGTAAAATTTCAGCGTCGTACATATAATAATTTACGAGATAATTAAATAAAAGTCATTAGAAGGTGCAAGACCGTGGTAACCCGACCATGTTTAGGTGGTTACATAAAAGCGATCACCCAGTACATTGTGCTGGCTTTTAAAATATGTAGGATATTATTTGCAAGTTTACTACGGATATGTACATAAGTGGAACAAAAAACTACATGTTTTTAAATAATTTTTATTTAGGATTGTTTATTGCATAATTAGTAATCAGCCGGGAGATTAGGTATTGTTTTGAATGCTTTTGTTTTCTCGTAATGTTTAGGTGAATTGTTTATAGTTGTTCATAGAATTGGTACCTGTGTAGTATTTGTTAATTGAAGTTTAATTTTAGGGTAGGTATAGGTAATTTAAGTTTTGAAGAGTGTAACGTATGCGTTGTAAATAGGTATTTTGTAAATAGATTGGGATTTTTTTAAAGTGATAAATCGACTTAGGCTGGCATATCGCGAACAAACTCTGCAGTGCATTATTTCTGTAATAATGTTGGAGAAAATTAAATATTTGATCACAAAATCGCGGTGAGTTAAATTATAATAAAATAAATTATTTATGTAAAATTAGTAATAGTGATATACCTACAAGTTATGATCGTTTTTAATTTGTTCACCCCGAACGAAATTTCAATATTAGCATTAGTAATTAACATCCTAAGACAAGAATTCGCAATTACTTAAATTGAATCTAATTAGCATTAATTCCCATTACTAGTAATTAGGTACACACATATTGAAGAACTCCCAAGAATACGATAAATATTTGCAAAAATAGAAAGCGGAAGCGCACACGCACTTTACAAGACGTATATTATCTGCCTAAGGGTCAAGTTTAGTGCACTAGATGCAAATTGCAAACAATGAAGTATCCCTTCGCCCGTCCCCTCCCGCGTTCTAGCTAAGGATGTATTATCGGCGATTCTTGATTGACAAATATTATCTGACCAATAATTTTATCTATAAAAATGTACCTATCACTTTCACTCGATAAATTAAATTACCGTTATTATATCAAAATATCATTCAACAACTGTTCGTTTTTAACAGAAATCAACAGTCACAGGTAGGTACATAGGTATAGATAATTCTCGGCTCTCGGTATAGACCACAGAACAATATTACCTACTCTTACGAGGTATACGACTGTTGGGCGATGCAATGTTGATGCATTCTAATTTACAACTGTATTCTTCTACTATTATGGTCTATTTTAACTAATTGTAGATGACTTGTTTCTTTAAATATTTTGATGCATTCAAGTCTAAGCTCTATATATACCTCATAATAAAATATAATTACTTCAGTGTTATTTCTTTACAAAAAAAAAACAAAGAAATGAAACGATTTCTTAATGGTTTAAATTTTCAATTTATTGCAGTCACGTGAATCGTTCATACATGTATCTATATATTTATAATTTTAGCGGGCCAGTGCAGATTTTCTGTTGATTGTAGCTCCGGTAGTTAAACAGACTAAAGAAATTTTAAGTAAAGAAACTAGTGCTTAAGATCAATTAGGAAAAAAGAACAAAATAAATAATAGGTAATAATAATGAATAAATATTGAATGTATTTAACACTGTACGCAACTGTACCGAAATCGTAAGGTGTATTATACTAAACATTTTAAAAGACAGCGCAATGTACTGGGTGATCGCTTTTATGTAACCACCTAAACATGGTCGGGTTACCACGGTCTTGCACCTTCTAATGACTTTTATTTAATTATCTCGTAAATTATTATATGTACGACGCTGAAATTTTACAGGTAGACAACTGAACTAAACAACTAATTATTGGCATAACATTCAGTTTATATATCCCCACACAGGTTTATCGGTGGCCAAAAAAGGCCGCACACATTGTGATCGTGAACGTGGAGAGCTATATTTCATCACAACTTTTTAGTCACTTACAGTATACTTACGAAAATTCGTATACATTTGAAGGTAGTTACAAGCAATAGAATAACGTTTGAAGTAAGTCTTTAGAGGTCTTATTCAAAGTGTTAGGACGTATTGAAGTGTTTTCATACTTACCTAAATAATTTTTAAACGGTCCATTATTTTTGTTATTTTACTGTCGAACAAATTAAAACTAATCCTTAAGAAGTTATGTACAAAAGATGGTTACAATCCGCTTACCCGTTTCAAAGATCCAGCAAACCCACAAACGTTACTCCAGCAGGATCTCGAATAACTTCGCAGCCGAAGAAAATACAAATACCAAATAAATTGTAACATTTACCTAGTCCAGATAACTAATTATTTAGCTAAAATTTATTTCAATATTACAATTAAAAAAGAAAATGTCTGGCTGCGGTAACGTTTCAAACGTTACCCCAGCAGGAAATGTTTTTTTGAAATAACTAAAAAAGTTTAAGAGAAACAAATTTAAAAATGTGCTTAACAATTACACAAGGGGAGCAACTAATTATCTATAACGTTTAAATGACCATTTTCGACATTATTTTGCTGGGGTAACGCACACAGAAAATCATTAAGTTTTGTTTCGTAGTAAGGTACCTATCAAGCAAATAGCATTCCCGCATTTAATGAGAATCTAGAATTTAAAGCATTATTTAAAAAGAGGTCAATACGTAATATTCTCGTTATATTTTTTTTTAAATACATGACAGGTGTCTAAACAGAATGACATCAATAGAGGATAACTTATTATTAAGGGTAGAAATGAGCAGTTATATTCTTTAAGGCAACTGTAACATTGTAGGCAGAGGCTTTTAATTGATAAGTATAACAAGTAACAGTGGTTTTTTTATTTGCCTAAGAATATTTAATACCATATTTAAATTGATACTAATTAAAAATGCAGGTTCAACAAGCTATTGTCACGAGGTATAGTAACATTATTTTTATTTACTAAACTGACATTATTTTGTAATTACTATTGGTTTGTTTGGTTAGACTAGATTCGGGTTCAGTTTCCTTGTGTTTTCTTAAATACTTACTAGACATCCATTCGGCACAAACGCAGATTATCTTCATCCAGAGTATTTTTGAATTTCAACTGGGACTCCTCCCAGCATACCCTAGAAGACTGCCCCGCGTGGGCGCGTCTGAACGCGAGGTCTTCTTCTAACAAATCGGACGAGACCTGTCAGAGATATAAGCAGTCGACGGGGCCGCAGGCTGAGACGTCTGGTGGCAGATTAATTCTGGGCCGATAGACGGGTTGAAGCCTGCTTCCCCGAGATAAGGCCTGTCTTAGCCCTGGTCGATTCACGGGGACCTTAAATAACATGGTCCGGTGGTTACCCAGAGTAGGGCACTCGAGACCTGATGTTGGGGAGGTTTTTAGTGGAAACACCACATACTCCTGGCTCCTGTGCCCATGAAAAGTCGGAGATCAGAGGAGAAAATGTATGCATACGTATTTATACTCTCATCTATGTAGTAGCTTGAACCTGTAATTTTTTTTTCAGTGAAACAAATTATTCAATCCGAACATACATTCTCCTGTCACTAAATTTAGTTGGGGCAGCTATTTGCCTAAGTATTAACATTGTACTAACTCTAACAGCTATGGGTAAGTTTACATTCCTTTTTGCTACTCGTCTTGCTATCCCTATGTACCTACAACGAAATTAACGAAGTATCAAAACGGCTAAATTAGACGACCACAGCTTTAATTTTTGTTTTGTTATCTCAACTTTTTAAACGATTAAATTACAACGATCGCAATACTTTTATAGTCTTAATTTGAATACGTTTTTATTAGGGATGCCACGAATATTTTTCCACTATTCGGTATTCGGCTGAATCTTTCGAACTATTTGGCCGAACGCCGAATAGTAAATCACGAAACAAAGAATGCATAATATTACTCACAAAGATTTTTATTTTACCAATAACTTCTCATATTAATACTTAAAACAATTTTTTTCAGCATTTGTTCCTCATAAATTATACCTGCTTCTGAAAATAGCCGCTCACTGTATATATTGCTTCCTGGAGATTATAAATAAATCTTAGCAAATTCGCTTAGGTTAGGATATTGTTTTGCAATTGCTGATCATTTTACTGATTCAGTTTTCAGGTACTAAGTGTTGCCGGATATTTGGCTCTTTGGACAAGACGCTAGCCGAATATTCGTTATTCGGCCAAATCACTATTCGTGGCATCTCTAGTTTTTATACATAGGCATGGACCCTATATTTTGAAATGTGCTAGGCAAACTAAAGATTTTCTTTTCCTATTCAAACCTTTAAGAAAAGAGCGTACTATTTCCTAAAAGGCCGAACGCGTTTGTGACTCCTGAGTTGCAGGCGTTAATGGGCGGCGGTAGTCACTTTAAATCAGGTGGCCCGTCTGCTCGTCTGTCCTCTCTTCTATGAAAAAAAAACTTGCGATTGCAGGTTGCTGCAAATTGTGATCTAAACTCGTATACGCATTATGTTTATATTTAAAGGTATAATATTCAAGGAAGAAAACAGAGCTCCGGTGGTGACAAGATTTATTGCAAGGTATATTAATACAAGTCTTCTAGCAGATGAATTTCAGACCATGCAAATAAAAAAATATTTGAATTAATGGAACTATTATAACAATCAACGTTTCTTTTTTTTTCTTTTTTTTCCAGTGTTTTTGAAGGAACTTTCTTTATTAATAAATCTTTAACCGCAAACATTTTATCATTTCCATTCTAGAGCAAAGGACAAAGGAATGTCCCCATACATAATTTTATTTGAAGTGAAAGGTAGCATTAAGATGACGTTGTGTGACTGTAGTAAAATATATTATTTTATATTAAAATATCAAAAATGACCAAAACACAGGAATTTATACTTGACCATTCCTATAACAAAATTACTAGCAAAAGAAGTCTAAGAAAGATATTGGATTTTAAATATTTCGAGGTTAAGTAATAACATACTGTTTTGCTTGACATGTTAATACTCATAACAACTAATAGCAACCCTATTTTGCTGTTGTTAGCCGGCTCTCTAAAAGGGCGAAGGTTATGCTTGGCATGTTTTTGTAAAACAATAGATAATGACTTTGCTTACCAAGCGAATGTAGAAATAGCTATTGCCGTGTGCTGACAGATTTAGAATGCCAGTCAATTAAGGACTCAAAACTTTTAGAGACACGATCACTCCGTCAGAAGGAAAACTCGAAACTACACCCTATACACCAACAACCTGCCAGGCAAAGAGTAGTACTAGTGGGCTAAATTCCCTCTTGGTGGACTGCAAAAGGCTATTACTGGTTGATTGGCTTCATTACATTTGGAGAGAAATAAAACTACATCGTTCGACTTTATAACATCATCGTTTATAAAATTTGTATTGAGGAATTCTGCAGGTGCAGATATGTTATCTTCAGGTCTGGCCCATCCGAAATACGTAACAATTGTCATGGCATGAGCGCAGCAGCCTACAGTGCGGCGCCCAACCAAGCAACTTCAGCAATATTCTATAGTGCCTGATAGACCACATAAATTATTTTTGACTAAAATATAGACATAATATTGTCTTCTAGATATGTCTAGATTTTTTTGGATTGTAGCCAAATCTTAAAAAATCGATTATCGGATAATATAATAATGCCATCACGCTTCCTTGGACAGTTATGCGTGATAGCGAATAAGTCACACATACTTAGGTCAAATAAGTTCTTCAAAAATATCCACATAACACATGGTGGTGTAATGATAAATCATAGAAAAAATATTTATTAAGTTTTTAAACGTTTAAGTTTTAGGTAAATATGTTTATGACTGAATTAAACACTACTTAGGATAACCGTTTCTCGTTGCTTCGTAAATCAATAAGAGTATATTAAAATAAAACTAAAATATATTTATTGTAACTTTATTAACCTCAAATAAAAAAGATGGTACAATGTTTGCAATAATAACGCCGGCCGTGCTATTACAATCTACAGATTAAAACTTCAACATTCTTATTCATTCAATCGTAACTCTTATTCTAGTAAGGCTACCCTTAAATTCTACCGCTTCCACTCTTAAGTAAGTATGGCTTTATTATATTATTGCTTGCATATTATAATAATACAAGATATAAATAAAAATCGATTTATTATTTATTGTTCTGAATCTAAGAGGCTATCAGTTACGCATACATATAAATTCGATAGCATTTTGATGTAAATATAAACAAAAATCGTTCTATTCACTTCTCCACACATTACACCTAGACGCATCTAAACTATGCATTTCTATAAAGTAAAGTGTACAACAAACAAAATTTCATAAAAAATGATGTTTATCAAACATACAACCAACCAAAATATCACACTATACAGAACAAAATTACAATAATAGTTTTTTTTTACAATAATGATTAAATATAAGCACATTTTGAGAATAAATACTTTATAATAAGTGTATACCTTATGATATGCTAATGATATGATAAAAAATCTACACTGGATCCAGCCAGCCACCAGAACTCTGATTTATAAACCATTACTATGTATGTAAATTACTAACATGCAATTCAATAATACATCTTACCTATATCACTACCAATATTTCGTTAAGGCATAAATGAATATATTATATTGTCAAATCTATCAGGAAGCATGTTATCTTAATTATTAATTGATGGTACTTTATTGACGTTAGGTGTTTTTAAGTTTCATTCCTTACAATACTTGTGCGTAGATGTGACACCAACAGTTACTATAGTCCGTTCGCGTTAAGAAAATAGTGACGCATCGATCACGCCTTGCACCTTGAACAATCAGTTTCCAAGCTTTCGTACGAGACGATAATTACTTGGAACCTGATTGGTTAGGCCCTAACCGTAAGGAGTCGGGGCTTGATCAACGTGTCACAATTTCTACTCACGATGCGTCACTATAGGTGTCGCTTTCGCACACACTAACAGCTCAAACACGAGCGAGAGACAAGTGCAGTCGTTTGTCTAATACAATAAAATTTAACATAATTTCAAACTAACTCTGAACCCCATCCTATTCTATATCAACCTACTTCTTTGTGCTCCTATTTTATCTTTTGTGTTCCCTTAGATAATTTTTCACGTATATAAATGTGATTATCAGTTAAAGTGGGACATGGGATGTATTGAATTTCGCTTTTAGGTTTTAAATCGACCTCCTAATACCTAAGCTTGCTTCTCTTATAATGGTAAATGGGACGGTGAAAACGCTTTTAATCAAAAAATTGTCCGATTTCCGTCTCAATAAATTGCCACTATAAGGCAAACGTGCATCGACATTTATGGCTAATACTTGGTTATAAAATATCCTTTTTTTATTCCAATGAAAACTAGAATTTAATTGGTATGACCACAAAAATAACCGAGCAAAAAACAGACAGAAAACTAGTTAAACCAGTATTTTCTCATTTTTGTAGGGTTTCAACGTAGTCGTAGAGTTTACTCTTTTCACTTTATTTATTTTGAAGTTACGTTTAACTAATAAAATTTTCTCGATACGTTCATTTTAGAGGTAATGTCATAACTGCTTTTGATGTATGTTCTCTCTATGACCGTGTTAAAGAGAGGTCCAAGAATTTTTTCCCTTACTAACCTAAGCTTCGTTTATCGTTTCGAATTAATATCAATTTTACCTATTCAATGTCAATAGACCGTATTATAAACATTGACGTGAATTTGTCACGGTCGTTCATATTGGTCCTGCTGCGATTTAATTATACTAGTTTAAGAGACAAATTTAAAATTATATTTTAAAAAGTCTTTATTAAAATCTCATAGCAGATATATTCAATAACGTTTTAAAAGCCATGACCTACTTTCTCAAATCAAAAGATATCGATATAACTGATAATTCATTCCTGAAAACATTTGATGGCTAATGAAATTACTAAGAAACTAAGTCAGAGAGGGTTTCGTCATACCGAACGCAAAAATTAAATTACAGATATAATCAAATCGTTTAATCCTAGTTTTTCACTACCTTATAATCAAGTGCACTTAATGAATTCTCACTACGTCGTTTAGTTCCATTGGCTTACATTAATTATTAGCGTACTTATACCTACAGGAATACTAAGTGTCCCATGTAAAATGGTCCACAGACTGCACTAGCAATTCGTTATAGTTACTTTTAATGTGCGTAATTGTATATGTTATTTTTCTAAGCTATAAGCACGTCTCTAATTGATTTATCGACTACAGCATGCTGGAATAGTACCATTAAAATCATTCCGAAATCCTAGGAGCTTACTCTACATGGGCCACGAAGTACCTCGCAATAACGTATACGCTTGTAGGCAATAATGTGTTATGTGACAACTGAGCATGTTACTTTGACTTTGGATATATTTTTAAATTAATCGTGTACAAACGTACGTGTACGCAAAGCATAAAAATACCAAGTTTATTCACAAAAATAAAAAATAAATTTTGTCCGATGGCAAATTACAACATTAAAATTCCTTTTATTGTACGTAGTTACCTATTTAAATATGTAAAATATCTCTCTTTCCAAATTGTAAAGATATATGACAGGATAAATGCAAATGAATCGTTTGAAGATCCATTGAACTTCACATGTTGGATTTCAACAACTACTTATCCTTACTATTATTATTGCAGTGTTTTATAAAAGTGACACGTATTTTTTTATACGAAATTTGCATTTGGGGTTTAATATCGTCGTGGATCGTAATTTATCTCATGGACGGAGTTTACGCTGAGTTTCAAGATTATTGGCATATTGTATATTATATAATATATGCATCGCTCATTTGAAAATAAAACAAAGTAAATAAAATTTGCAATTGCAAATGAACAAAAAGTAATACCAACTATAACTCAATTGTGAAACCCTGATTTCGGGAAGACGTTTTATCTATATAAATATTAATTTGGGTTGAAGTCTAAAACAGATTAGACATTGTTTTTTTTTAATTTTAGACACTTTCATGCAAATAAGCGACATGTTTTCGAACAGAACAAGAACAACGTTAGTATAATGCGATATGCTTAATATTATGATGGCTTTTTTATATATTTGATTCAAAATTTATATTTAGAAGATTTGGTCGATTTTTTGACATTAACATTAGTTAATGATTATAAAGCCAAGATTGTTTAGAGAGCTGATAAAGTTAAGTATTCAAAGTTATCAATTCTGTAAAATTTTAATTCGTGCGTCAGTGGCACATTGCTTATAGAACTTGATATATTTTTTAATGACATCTTTATTATCTATTTACAGATAATGCAGAGTTGTCATTGTTCAATAAATATGTGTTACTTTTTTTTAAATTTTAAAATAAATCACAGATATTAATGTCAAGGATACTAAAGAGTATGTTTATTTGTTTTCGCTTATACTAAAGAGTATGTTTATTTGTTAGTGCAAGCAACCGTACAACTGATAGTAACTATTGCTAAATAGAGGTGTATTGTAGATTTTCTTACACTTCAATATCTAATAAAAATATTGCATCTATACTTGTCTATATGGAAGCATCAACAATCGTTCAATTCCATGAGTGCGTTGCCTAAGCTTATAATTAAATGCGTTAAGGCGAGGAAAATTGCCTGCGCTTTATTGACCATGCATATGATCTATGATATTGTCAAGCAATTTTTTCCCCTACATCTTCAATGGTCCATCTTTTACGTTTTGATATAATGACACACCCGCAGTGCTTATATTACACAACCTGAGTTCATTAATTAACTACTACAAAGTACTGTTTCTCCACGACCTATATGTTAAAGCGCAACGCTTGTCGTAAATGTATGGAAGAATCGGATAAATGGATAAGTGATCAGTCTTAAAGAGAAAAAAAGAAATCTTTAAGTCACACAAATAATAATAATTACAGTAGGTAAATAAATAAATAATATCGCTTATTCGTTGTAAAATAACATGAAAATTACTTAATCTTTTTACATATCCGTCTTATACATTACTATATGTAATTATGTATTTTAAAAAGTTTTGATAAAAATATTAATTAAGTAATAATACTTACGATGTTTAAATACATTTTCTGTTTCGGAGCTTGATTTATAGTTTCTAAATTCAAAATGTTGGCTTTAAACAAATTAGTCTAAAAGAGCATACCTTAATTTTTGCAATAGCAATGCTTTACTAAGAAATAGAAAACCATTTTTTTGGAGCATAAGTTGTGGAACGTCATCTGAAAATAAATTAAGGAATTTAAACACCTTTTTTTAAAGGTAATTTTCGCACAATGAAAACGTTTAATGCACAGTCTTTCACTAAAACTCTAAGCCGTCCCGATTTACTAAGCACAGAATGAATTTAAGCGAAGTATTCGTATAAGTCTCCCTCAAATAAGTACTTCTATGCTAGGAAATCGCAGTAAAGCAACTCCCAGATAGGACGGAAAACACGTCTAAATGAAATCGTCCCAAGAACGCTGACTGAGACCAGATGAAACAACTATCGGAATTTTGGATCTGAAGGCCAATTGCTCATAATAAAAGTTCTGTCAAAATTCGGTTCCACAAAATGCATAAAAATCTAGTCCGGAGTAAAGTGTAAAACATCCAACGTTGACTGTAATATGATTATATATCGTATTGTGACCAAAAGTTAAATCGCTAATCTGCTAGTCTTAGTAATACTTTACTATTTTACTAAGGAAATACCTTTTATGACATTTGTGATATCGCGAGTAGATCAGAAGTGAATTTTGACCGAACTTTTCTTACGAGGGCCTTCTGGCCTATCATCTCAATGCTCTTATTGGCGCGATCGCGAACTTATAAGAATGTTGCCCTGGCTTCCTGTTACATGTTTCCGTCCCTAGACGCGATTTTATTCCCACAAATACCAAGAAAGCGAGAAGTAAGATGTTGAACATCAAAAAACTATATGTAACCAAAAATATATTAGCTACACGATACTTACAAAATGTGAGTTTAGTTTTATTCTTCATGTTAAAAGTCAATGTTCCATAGCGACGTATTAATTTGTTCACTGAGTGACTGTATAATTTTCTATGGGATAAAACTCTTTACTGGCCATGTGTGTCGCATTGTGAGCCATTCGGTATCCCCAAAGCTCCATTGCTTCTTTGCACGCGTTCTGAAACATCAATCAATAGAATAAATAATTTCATATATATAATATCATCATATATAGTAGGCCAAAACCTCCTTCCTAAGGAGAGGTCTATGTCCAGCAGTGGACTAGTAAAGGCTGTTGATGATGATGAATATCATCATATATCTTTTTTTTTACATTTTATTTAATAAACTAACTTTATGAATGTAATGATAAGAAAAGATAATAGAAATGTCAGTTAATTTTGTTTAGGCAATCGAAAAATTCTATTTCATAAATTCAGATAAGTAATAAATAATAAAATTCATTCCAAAGTTTTTAATTAAGGCATTACATAATCAAATCAGTAAAAAAAAAACAATTAAATGGTATTTTACATTGTATCACTCACGTATATTTAACTTAAATTCTAGCTTAGGCAACGGTTTTAGTTAAGACAGAAAGTACACAAGAAAAAGATGTTTCAAGATAGGTTTTTTTTTTCAATTTTCGTTCTGTCAAATTACAGAATGCTAAAACATTGATCTATGATGTATTGTTTTATCTCTATCACATATCTTAGTGACAAGTCATATTGATTTATGATTTTACTACTGGCATGATGTCATTCATTCGTCACATGAACAACATGGTACCTTTTAACCGAACGTTGAATCGGTATTCGGCTAGTCTTAGTATGAGACTTTCCTATGAGAATACCTTTTAAGACAATTGTGAGATCAAGAATAGATTGAAATTAAATTTTGAACGAATTTTTATAACGAGGATTGATTCTGTTAATGCAATTTAACATGGAATTGAAATGCCACTTGTCGATTAAATAAAGTTTGTTATTTTCTGGTTATGTACTGTTATGTACTGCTTAAGGTCGCATTACAACACTTTTCAAAAGGGTGTAGCCACGATATTTTCAAATGCATTTTTTTTAATTTTCCCTTTAACATGTTGGCTTTAGTCATTTACTAACTACAAGTACTAACTAAAACTCTTGACCATATAGTTCCGAGCGGAAACAGAACCTGTTTTTAAACAAGCCTTCATCGGTATTTTGTTTTGATTGGCTAAGTTTAAATTATAAAGCAAATAATTATTTAAGTTTGAAGGCAATAATAGAAAGTAGTTTCTAAGTAGGTATGACTAAATTGAATTCTCGATCTCGTTCATGTCTATATATGTATACTAGGGATCCGCTCGGCTTCGCACGGGTGCAATGTAGATAGTATACTACTAATCTGGTGTCAGTGTAGAGTAATTAATTATACTATTATTATGATAAGACTCTACTAAAGGACATCTTTATATGCAATATTTATAGGCCCGCTTTAATCCTGCGGGCCGCTGCCAGCCGAGACGGGCGTACAGCCCGACGCGAAGACGGCCGATTTGCTCCCGCATTTTAAATCTCTGATATCTACTAAGATATTCATTTTAACGATATGCTGTAAAAAGGCAATTTTGATGTGATATATTTATTTGGATAAGGATTAATACTATACTGTTCAAAATAGCTTAGTAAATAACCCATTAATTTTTGTGACATGTAAAAGATAAAAATGATTACTATAGGGTTATCCTTAGGAGATAGATATAAATCATTGCGGACTTTTAGTAGATCTTTTTAAGATATACAATTACGTAGTACATTATTTTGATATATCTCGTAAGGTTTAGGCAGCGTTTGCAATGTAAGCGCACAAAAACATTAAATCACGCTCTCTATTAGTGAAAAAAGTATTAAAATCCGTTGCTTAGTTTAAAAGATCTAAGCGTTCAAGAAAAAAAGCGACTTCATTTAATACTATGTAAAGATGCATAGGTACCTTTTATTATCAATTTCTACAATTTCTATGCAGTGCCCCATTCATACTTCAATTAAAGGACAGCCATTCAGGTGACCTAATTTTTAATCTTATGACGTAAACCAACCAAACACTTTTTTAGAATTTTTCATTTAGTTTTATTCCTGTATTTCTTTTTGAGTAGGTTTCAATCATTAGCACGGCAATTAAATAGCCATAAGCAATCAGATAAATAGATAAGAAGTTACAGATCACGGATATTGAGGCAATAAGACATAATGAAGAAATCAGGCACATTTTACGATACGACATAACAAGTATTATGATAAATACAGAACGTTACAAATTGACATTTCAAAAACTCTCTCTTAAATTCGTTTAAGATCTTTGATAGTTTGACAGATTAGGATAATGACATAAGGTAAACACTGCGGTTATATACAGTCAACTCTCAAAACTCACCTGTAATGAATCATTGTGTGAATAGAAACATTATAACCATGGTTTTGTTTATAAAGTGTAATTTCCGTTCAACTCAGCGCATCTGCGCTTTCTCCACGATAATAATAATGAATGATCTAGACGAAAGACGGATATAGGTTACAGTCGTATCTTGTGTGTGCCGTGCAGATAATAATGGAACCAATTAATCATTCCGCTTCTTTAAACCGTTTGAGCCGTAGATTTTTAAAGCTTATCTAAAACTCTTTCAGTATTTATATAACAATAATTGAAAATGGAGTCCTTAGAAGAATAGAAGTTTTGTTCATCTGTCATAGACAATTTTCTCTGAATGTACAAAACGTTTAAGTTGAAGTTTGGTACACATATCGATTCCTATGATCGTTATAAATGACAAAATGGATTTAGAAATAATGTAGATAAATAACTTCTGTTGTTTCTGTAGCAAACAATTAATTAGGGAAAATAGATATGTAAATTATCCCGAAGTGACAATGAGATTAGATAAGGCCAGAAATGATGGATGACCATTTAAATGATAACAATAACCCCTATGCTTTGTTTAAATAAATACTGTCAGTGTATCCGGAGAAAATGGCATTATAAAGCCTATACATAAAAAAGGGCACATATAAGAACATAAATAATTACAGATCGACTACAATCCCCTCAAATATCCTCGTAGATAAAATTATTGAAAATCTCTAAACATAGTGCATCCCAATACATTTGCAGTATGAAACATTTGTACGGGAGAACATGTTCTTCAACAACAGTGATGAGTCTTTATCGTGGGATATGCGAAAACTGAGAAAAAAAATCGTATGTGACTTTAAAGACTTTACAGTAGCAAAACCAGAGCGTTTGTAGTGTTTTGTACTTAACTCGTCCATAGCTACTGAACAAAAGAAATTCCTTGACAATAAGTATAATTTTTGCTTAATAAGTTTTTCCTTTATTTCAAATCAGTATTGTACATTATAGATGTGAGTTTCCCTACGAAATTGATAAAACAGATGTTATTTAACAAAACTTCAATACCTACATACCTGTATTTCATCAACATAAGCAAAGTCCAACACTTGTTTCCATCTGAAAGGCACATCGCGGGAGACTCTGTAAGTGGAGCTGACGCCAGCCACTTCGTTATTCGTGTGTGCTTGCAGGAACTCATCTATTGAAGCAGTGGGACTTAGCCGTAGGAACTTTAAAATTCGATGTGTTGTAACATTAGGATCAAGAGCCAGTTCTTCATATCGGAGCACCCTGTAGAATGTGAGTAATACAAATTAACAATATTATATGAACAACATATATTTACTGGCCGTTTCCAACAGGGTCACGAAACAAAATTCAAAAGTCATTTATTCAAATTAGACTAAGTGCCAGCACTTTTTGAATGTCATGGCTTACATAAAGACAGTCCCCTAAAAATGTCCAACCATCACCACTTTCTAGTGTTTCAATCGGGAAGAAGAAGCGGTGGTACAAAGTGCAAAGCGGATATTTTCCTTTTTAAATCTATAGATGCTTTATTTAAATATTGACTTTTGTTTTATAAAAGACCTTTAGGACATACGTACCTACGTGTTTTAAGCAAACATGCTGAATATTTTAGTACAAGCCTTTGCAATATGATAACCTTGTACCTAATAATATTATTAAAAGGAAAATTATTAATATTTATTGTTAGGCATACAATCGAACGTGTCTTTATTAATATTTAGTGATTCGATTAAATGACAGCAAGTAGCGGAGAATCTATTGAAATTAGATCTCTCATGAGTGTGCTCGTTTTCCTGAGGCATATATATCAAGTGTTTACGACAGGGGGCTAGGGTTTTCAACATTTGGATAAATATATTTAGTCTTTTGTAACAATGAAACAAATTAACATAATTTATACTACACGTGAAGTAAGTAAATATTATGGCAAAAGTTTTTTAAAGAGCACCTCGCAGTAGGTACTTTAGAGCCCTACAAAACGATTGAAAGTTGAACAAATAAACATGTCGTATAAACCAGCCCACATTGTTGGGTGATAAAGATTAAGAAAAGTATCGAGAAGTGATTTCCAGGGCAGGCTAAGACCTACCAGGCCGGCTAAGTATCGCAGTTGAACACTTCTTCAAAAGATATGGGGGTTAGTAATTATTCTCTTACGATTCTACGGAAATGGTTCTTGTTTGACACGTTAATTGTATAATGATAAATGAGCATTTGCTATAAAAAAAAAAACATCAAATTGTTGTATAGTTTAGAATTCGTTAGTAAATCAAAACAAATTGTCCTTCACTGTGAATTTGAACTTCCTTATTCATGTTCATAATATGTATAATAATGTTAGGTTTTTAACTGTATTTTATAATGGGTAGTCATGCCAAGGTCCTGGCTGATAACAAAAAATACTATAATAAATACTAACGGTTTCACTAATTGTATTCCTAATTAATTATTTTTTAGGGTTCTACACGACACAAAAGTAAACGAGAATTTTTAAAATATGAACCTTTTTCGTTTCTATTAACATAACTAACAAAATATTTAATAAATAACAAGAACTAGCAAATATCAAGCAACGCAAGTAAACATTCAACAATTTAGTCATTTATAGAACACATGCAAATAAATTTCTGTTGATCTACTGTCAAGAAGATAGGCAACGATTTTTTTTTGTTAACGGGGTGGGAGATCCTCAATCCTCTCATTGCCAATGGCCGGGGGAGCGAGAATCGCAATTGACCCTTGATACCCACGAAGGGTCTCGTCACCCGTTGCGACCGTCACCCTTCGATCGCAGACCTCTAGGAGCGCACACGGAACACTGCGCTGCCTCTCGGGCCTGCATCTGTTCGGACGACGAATTCCTCAGAATTGTTGGCAAGCCACTTCCTGAGTTGGCCCGGTGCGCCTTCTGCGGGTAGAGACAGCGGTGCTGCGTTCTCTCTCCCGTCCTGCCGCTTCCTTTGTCACACACATCACATGTTCGCAGAAGGAAGAGACGGTTGAAAGGCACAGAAACAACAGTAAGTTTCTACGGAACCCCCAAGGAATAATTTCTACTCAGTATTTGCCGATTATTTTTTTCAATTTAAATTATTAAGGCTATGCACATCAGTAAAATGAATGTGATATATTTATTGTACCTACGCAATATGCAGTATATTACGCAATAATTAATTCTGTGGTTACAGGGTTGTTTAAAATATCGTAAACATGTTCTCTGTGGTATAGGGGCAAACGAAATGGAATAAGGGTCGCCTAATGGTTAGTGACTACTGTCACTAATGGACATCTGCTCCTCAGGAGACACAAGATCGTTGCTGCCCTTTCAGTGAGATTAGTGACACTAAAGAAAGTAAATATAAACGACTACTCTTCGACTGCGTAGATGCCGTAGTGGTTTCTGCGGTCGCCACACTGCTTTCTACTACGCAGAGTGCTGTGGGTTCGATCCCCACATGGGACAATACTTTGTGTGATCCACCAATTGTTGTTTTGAGTCTGAGTTTTCATTGTGTCCGTTACATGTATGTTTGTTAAGTCCTCCCGACACTGGATATATTCCTAATGCGGAAGTTGTCTTTTTAAAAAAGGAAAGAAATAAACACTAAGGCGCAGGATTCTCTGTCCGCCGACCGCACGCGACCGACGACAGAGAATCTGCCAACGGCGCCACCGTTGGCGGATTCTCTGTCGTCGGTCGGTGTACGAATGCTAAGTACGCAAATCTTCAGCGCTGGGTTTTTAAAAACGTCGCCGGCGGCGGACAGTTCGAGCCGACGGCGTCGCAATGTCTGGTTTTTTATTAAGATTTTCCCCAGTTCAAAATCCTAGACCAGTAAACCTCCATGCTCTATCACAGTTACTCTATTTAATTTAAAACACTTACAGAGTTGGAAGTTCCCACCTCAAGAGAAATACAATCAGTATTAGTACTAATATGGCTTTTCAAGAGAAAGTTAGCTTATTGCAACACTGTCTAAGTAGGAAAGCTCTTGTAACACAGAGTAGCAATCATTCAACACCCATAGCAATGTCAGCCTATAATTATACATACACATAACTATTAAATCTTAAAATGTTGTCTTTAGCCAACTGCTAAGAAAGTAATGACTGTAATGAGTAATATAATAGGAAGGTGAGCTTTTCCTAAGAGTTTTAATTTGCTCTGTGGAAATAACTTCAAGTTACCAAAATCATTAAAACTTTTTATGTAAAACACACTTCATACTTGTGGTATGGCATCGAATACAGAGTGCTTGTGACATATGTCTCAGATAACAGTCCCTGTCAACATTTGATAAGATAACACATTGCCCATCATTTGATACCTGACTGTTATATTGCTAACCTTAAATAAGAAGAAGAATATTAAATTGTTTAATGACTAAGAGAGAGAATAACTAATTTTAAACCTGTCATCACTAGCCCCTTGAATGTAAGTAAATGAAATATAATTATAATAAAATAAAAGCTTTTTAAATTATAACTTAGACATGTACCTATGTATTGTTACTGTTTCTTGGTTTTGTATGACTGTACATATTTTTAAAAATTGTTGAGAAGTATTGCATTTTGTTTTGGGTTGTTCTATTCTTAATTGTAAATTGAATCAAATACTTATTTAGTGTTTTAAAATGCTTTACATGTGAAAAATAGAAATGAATTAAGTTTTTTTAGGAGGTTGATTTAGGAATTTATAGCAAGACATTCATCACCAGCTAGTTTTACTAGCATCATCATCATGAACAAATCAAACAACTACAACAAACAAGCTTTTAACGGTCCACTGCTGAACATAGGCCTTAGAAAGGAAGTTTACTATACCATGCTGGCCAGAGGGTTTGCTAAGGGGTTTGTTTCAAGTTTTCCTTCACTTTTGCAGTGCAGTGGTCCTGCATAGTTTGCTCTCTTAGTTGGCTCTAGTGACACCCACACAATTAATAGGGGTGGTGACACTGACATTCAGACTTTATGAATCAAATAACATATTTACCAATTTTTATTTTTTATTGCACTATTTAATCTACAAACATTGCAATTTAATAGTAATGCTCATATTGAAATATAAGAAATGACATAATAACTATTAATTAACTAGGACTTGAGTTTCAATACCTTACTGCTAGGCAGGCCATGGCACGTGTATGTAAATATAAAAGAACTTAAAGATAACTTACATAAGTTTATCTGGATACTGTGTCTGTATGCGGCTCGCAGCTACATAGTCATTGATCATATCAGCACATAGTAGTTCTGGGTGCCAACAGTCAGCAGATGGCTGACAAAAATCACGGTGTTGTCTAGATTGCATCACACCGCGGGGATCACGGATTAACAGAAGCACCTTCACATTAAGCCTGTAAACAAACATATGGTTGAAATAGGTAGTATAAGTTAATATATATGTATGTATATACATAAAAGAGGTGCACTTAATTTTTTGTGATAAATGTGATTATAAGTTGTAAAGTACCAATATTGTTTTTAGCACTAAATAATAACACAAAAAAGTGTGTTTATATGTCCATACTAGAAATACTGGAAGAAGTATTTAATTTAATTGTAACTTACTCTTTATCATCCAAAATTTCTTGAAGAAGACGTAATCTTAGACGGACCACCTTCATGGTTTGAAATGGGAATAGCTTACAAAACTGTGAAGTGAATTCTGCATCAAAACACAGCTCTCTATTATATTTACAATGGTCCCACAGTCTTTTGTTATGGCTAAACTGGTGCAAATGAGTCTTTCCATATGTAAAGTAAGTATCCATTCCATAAAAATCACATTTTAACATGTTTTTGATAGTGCTCAATGCATCATTAGATTCTGGAGGCCCTCTTATTTGAACAATTCCATAATTTAGTAGAGGTTCATAGTGATAGAAGGTACCTGGGATAGTATTAAGCACCTCTCCTAAAAACGTAGTACCTGACCTCCAAGTAGACACAATTATACTTCTCAAAGGCTTTCCACCTAATTCCATAACTAAATCTTCTAAGCCATGTACACCTGAATAGGAGAAGTTGTATTTAGATGTCCTTCCTTTAATATTGTTTCGGGCTACCTCGAATACCTTGTGTGATGACTCCTCTGGACCATTTTCGTATGGATCCGCTGATAGTAACTGGGGCATATAATTCTCCTCTCCATCCTCCACTTTTAAAAAAGTCCTGACATTCCTCCCGCTTTCCATGGACGGACGGTAGTATGTGTTATCTGCATATCGACTCCCAGCAAGAATCAAAAGAACACTGAGACCAAATGCGAAACATATCGAGTAGAAGTTAACTCGCCGCAACATCACGTTAGGGACACTAACAAAACAATTTCGAAGAATATAAAAAAATTGGTGTAATTTATACAACACGAGCACTACCAACACGCACTTACGATCATTTTTTCAGTTTTTGCTTGTTTTAAATCATAATTTCTTATTTGTCGTTTCCGCGGAAACACCGCATTGCACCTTCACCGCCATTTTGAGAGATTGACGTATGATTGTCAAAAAGTTTTTATTGCATGCTGACTTTTTACTAAAATAGGTATATGAAAAAATTATGTCCTATGTGCTTGTAACTGCTAGATTATTAATTTATTAATTAAAAGTCTTAAAAGGTTTTTAAGAATTTTGTTGTACAATACAAAAACATACTGTGATTCTGTTTTTTTGATTTACTATTTTACTGTACCGCAGCGTGCGAAACTAACACCGTTTAAATCTCGACTGTCAATAAGCTGCAAGTAGATATAGGTAAGACTCGTACGACCTACAGCGTTGGTGCCATTGCACTCGATGGAGCTAAATATACTTAGGTACAATATTTTATCATATTTAATAAATCTGACATCGAATCAATCAAATCAATATCTTCCTTGCCAATACCTTAGGTAAGAAGCCTTTTAAAATAGATAGGTAGTTGAGATTACTTACTCCATAAAATGACAAAGAAATGAAGATAGTGAGCTAACATTTAACACCAGCTTGTAAAAGGTATTTTAAAACCAGTGTGTTCAAAAACTACACTTAGGTACCTATTGCAAAGGGGACGCACCCGTCCTGCACCAAGTTTCTCCACCTGGGTGAAGCACGGGGATTATATAGGATCCCGTGCTCCAGCTGATGACGTAATTGTACAGTGATGCAGGAAATTGATTTCCCTATATGATTCGAAAGATCTAAACAATTATTTAGTAGGAACATATTAATATAATATTGTATCACATTCACACAACGCCATCTAGTCCCAAACTAAGCAGAGCTTGTACTATGGGTACTAGACAACTGATATAAATACATATATACTTTTTTTTTGTAAATACATACTTATTGTACATAGAAACACCCAGACCAAATCAAACATTAAATGTTCACGCACACAAATGTTTGACTTGAGCGGGAATCGAACCCGCGACCTTTGGAATAGCAGTCCGTTACACAAACCACTACGCCATTCGGTCGTCAAATTGAATTTAATGAATGAATGAATGAGGAATGAATTTATATTATAAATTTATAATTTTTTGTTATATTTTTTCTTAATTTTTTTAACGAGAGGCACAGTACCAAGTACAGTACCAACTTTCAGTTACGTATATATACGTAAGGGAAAGTTGGAATCAAAATCCAAAGACAATAAAGAGTTCAAAAAACCATAATGTTGTCTTCTATTCCGTGTGGTGACGGATTAAGAATCCATAGTCTCACCACCCCTAGTCATCCCGCGGGAGTCGTAAGAGCCAATTAAGGGAGCAAAATACGCACGATAACAGCACTGCAGGATACCAGCACTGCACCTCAAATATGTTAAACATGTAAATAACTGTTTGTTCCTCGATAAAAATAATTATAAGAAAATAAAAATAAAATATAGTCCCCGTGCTTCACCAAGGTGGAGAAACTAGGTGAAGCACGGGTCCGCCCACACATCTTAAGAAAAAACAATTTTAAAAAACACTAAATAGTTCCCTGATCTAAACAATAATACTATAGCACTCCACTACCAGACCGGTAATACCTATAAATGGCTATGTTGTATCCTTAAAACGAACGCAGATACTTTGTTTAAACTTGATAAGGAGATATGCATTGGCACAGTAGGTTTCTGATAGAATTGAAGTCAAACGACTAATGTAAGATCTCGAAACTACAGTATTATTTTAAGTCCATGAGCCAGCGACAGATTTTCATGACCAAATTCCTTTTGGTCGATAACTCGTAAAATGCGTAAAAGAGTTGTATCCTGAAGCGTTGTGATCGTCAGCTGCGGCTCCGTGGGTGGGTTGAGCAACGGTAGCCGCCCACGCACGTAATAAAAAATGATTTTTAATCATTTCGCGCATTGAATGTTGAATAACTTTTGATGCGTCATTGCCTCATAGTTGAAAATTGGTATGCTGGTTATTGCCTGTAAATAATGAAAAAAAATCAACTGGCAGTATGCCGGGGGAAAACTCGTCAGCTGATACATTTAAATAGGCGATAGATGCTGCCAGTTGGCTCCTGCGTTACACCTTTTAGGGCATCAGCTGACAAACATTCCACCTAGATATAGCCAGCCTACATTTTTACTTATTAACAGTAACATACAAACTATTATCTGATAAATTTTCAGTTGGGAGGAAATCACTGAACACATATATTTGTTTCATGTTCGTATGACCAGCTGGCGAATAATCCACCACTACATGATTTGTGTTTGTTTTGAAATTTCCTTGCTTACGAACTATTTAGTTTGGTGTAATTCTTTAAAGTATGACCACGTCTCTGCTTTTCGTTCCCAATTGCAATGGTTGCCCGTTCTCCTGCGCCGTAATCAGCGAGCGCTGACCTCTCTCTTTTCATTCCTCAACTCCCCATCCTCACCCACTTACCTTGATCCCTATCTGCTGTCCACTAATCACGATAGAAATCTTCGCTCAACAAATAATTTGCTTCTCCTTTGTCCCTCCCACAATTCCGAGTTTGTGAACTCTTCATTCTTTGTGCAAGCAGTACAACTTTGGAATGCGCTCTCACTTGAGATCAGGATGTCCACAAACCGTTTCACATTTAAAAAGAATGTACGTAACTACCTTCTTCAGCTGGCGGAATTACCTACTCAATAGTACACCTCCATCTTTACAGTGTACGAATATAAAGTATATGTATTTTATGTGTATTTATATCTATATATGCGTGTAGGATATGTGTATGTATGTGTGTAATTGTATATGTTAGTTATAACTGCTATAGCAACTGCAACCTCAGTGCACCTACCTCACCAGATTTCTACACCCCTCCAAAGGTTGGCTGGTAGAGAATGCCTTGGGCATTAAGCCCGCCGTTGTACATAAGTGCATAAAGTTGTAAATAAATAAATAAAGGTCTAGAACCGGCTATCTACTCCTACTATTAAGCCCAGGACCCAGTGGCGGCTTTAGCCATTGCGAGGCCCGGGGTGGGTAGAACATTGCGAGGCCTCGGGCTGGTAGATAATTGCGAGGCCCTTGTCTTTGTGGAATTAGTTTTAATGCTGATACTTGAAACAAAAAAATGCAGTGCAACACATACCTACTGCTGCTCGAACATAAAAGCACAAACTGAAGACAGTTGCCACTAACAGGTTGTCAATATGAGTTTTAGACTGCAAGGCGTAAAGCACTATTTCTACTTGTCGCGAGTGCGAAAGGCTCCTGCATGAGCGAGGCCCTGGGCGGTTGCCCTGCTCGCCACCCCCAAAGGCCGCCTCTGCCAGGACCCTCCGACTCCGATAAATAGCTGCCAAAAAATTAGTAGTTTAGAACTAGTTATTAGTATTATTATTATAACCTACTAATAACTAGTTCTTCGAAAAAAGTTGCCAACTACGATAATATTATGACATGAATGTGACGGAAATGGAAAGCAATGTCCTCAGAGGTTAAAAAAACTACATCCAAACCCAAACTTCACACCAATTCGCTCTTGGGTAAGGTGACGAACGTCGTCGTCGCCCATGTAGGTAATCACCTAGCTATAAGCGATTCAATTTAGTGTTTAAAGTTTTACTACGTTTAATTTAAAGAGTGCATAGCTTCTTCTAGAGTGCAGCAACTGACACGATATCTGAATAGTTGTAGGTTAATAACGAGTAATTTGGCACTGAATTTGCATTTAAAATCTTCTCTGTCACGCCACGCAGCATTGTGGCGGAGAGCGAAAGCGTGGCCCCACAACTCGTTGCAATCGTTTAAATAATAATTTCTTACTCCGATACAACAAAGTGCAATTTAAATCACACATCCCTTATTACCTAGAGTTATTTTCACTTAAAATGGCGCGCGGTGGACGGCCTTCACTTTTGGGGTTGACTTTTGTAAAAGTAGTTTAATCTAAATATTTAATTACTAGTATGTATGTGCGTTTACTCTGTTGATGTAAACAAATAATACTTAAAAACCTAGTTAATTCAGTTTAATTTGAATAGTAAAAATTAGTTATTATCTATGTAAGATCATTATTTAAATTATACTAATATTTGCCATGTATTAAGATCACATGAAGTTAATAGTTTCTATAGCATATGAAAATAATATCATATGAACTTTATTTCAAGTGAAATACTATATATTATTAGACAATTACACACCCAGTTCGGCCCATATTTGAAGTATCTTCCACAAAGAATGCAAGGATGCATACAGGCATTGAACCTTTTTTTTTTCCGTGCGGATATCCCCTCGGATATCACCTGTCGGTGGCATGTCGGACTCGAACCGACTAAAACCGCACGCCGTCTCGGGTACTAATAGCCGGGGAACCAGGTATACCCTAGAAAGGAAGTCCCTGGTGCCCCGACATACCTCGGGCCATCTAGAACAAGTAGACGACCCCGCCCCGTGTGGGAACCCCATGTTCCCTCTGCTCCCTGGAAGCCAGCGCGCTTCGCAACGCGCTCGCCGCCACCCCGGCCTGCTTCTGCTAGGGTGACAGATGGTCTCACCTTTCACCCCCAGGCCTGCTCTTATGGAGGACGGAGGTCGTTCTGCGACCTATTGACACAATATTTAAACAGCAGAATTGGGGCCCAGACCGCGCGATAAGGAACTTCGTTCCAAAAGTATTAGGTTCAAAGCCTGTCGGGCAGGACGCAGGTGTGCAGGTGCCTGCCTGTGACACAGGTGATCACTGGGAAAGGACGCAGGTGATTCCTTTCCCAGTGATCACCTGCGTCAGTCGGTATGAGAGGGTCCCGTGACGCCTGTCGAACGAATCTTCCATAACGGGTCTTACCGCCGCGATGACGGCGTGCCCGACAGGCATTGTACCTACTACTTTTGAAACGAAGTTCCTTATCGCGCGGTCTGGGCCCCAATTCTGCTGTTTAAATATTGTGTCAATAGACTCTCGATGGAATGTGGCCGGAATAATTTTGGAATGGCCTCCCGATGACTTGTCACTGAACTGCCATTGATACAAATGTTGTCGATGTCTTTGTAATAGTTTGATAAACAGTAGGTACATTTTAAATTTGTAATAAAAAGATTTATTTAATTTTCGAGAAATGGCAATGCTGTCCGTGTAGTGAAGGATAAGAAATACAGAATGTCACTACCCGGCTTGTACGTTAACACTACAGTTAACAGCAGAGAAAATCCGAGAATTTCAAAGATTTGTCTACAAAAACATGTATTTGTGCGTTTACATTGCAAACGCTCTAAGGATAAACCACAGTAACCATTTTTATCTTTTAAATATTATAAAAAAATAATGGGTTATTTACCAAGCTATTTAAAAACAATATATTATTCCTTATAAAATCAAATACGTTAGATACTTTTGCATTTAATGTAGATTAAAATTGCTCTTACCATCATATCGTTAAAATTAATATTTTAGAAGATATTAGAGGTTTAAAATGCGAAGGCAAAGACCCGCTCCGTTCCTGCCGGGCCGTGCGTTCGTCCCGGGTGGAAACGGCTGGCAGGAACGGAGGCTAGAAGGAAGCTGTTATGTATGTATATTGAGAATCGCACTCATTAAAGTTTTTTTTTAAATGATTAATTTTACCATTTTTTTGTGTAAGATATGTTTGTAATGACTAAATAAGTGCGAAGTTTAAAACACTACTTACGTTCTGTAATGTATATTACCAAACTGTAGCATGTTAGTTCAGTAAATCCGTTACTTTATTTAGATAAGGTAGTAAGTAAGATGTTAGATTGGAAACCGAAATGTATTGTTTTTTAGATTACATAATTTTCCACCACTAGGAGTGGCATTTTAAGTGGAACCAAAGGGGGAAATACACCCTTCCAAATAAAAAAAGATTTTCTCAAATCGGTTTACAAATGGAAGAGTTTTGAAGTAACAAACATGATTATAATTGCGTAACAAACATACTTTTGTCTAAATGTTTTGTAATCTCACTTTTTACTTCCTTGTGCACATATCTCTGTAACCCAACACAAGCAATAAATATAAAGAAAGAAAGAATAAAACAAGGTCAATGTATAATTTGATTTTTGAAAGAGTTGTCCTTTAACTACTAAAGGTCAAGGACCCTTCCATCATCAGCTCAGCAAAATGACATAAGACTACTAAACGCCTATACCTACATAAATAGCTAGAGAAACAAGCTAAAACACGTTGTTGGGGCTGTAAAATTTGAGGGTTTCCCCTCGATTTCTTTAAGATCCCATCATCAGATCTTGATTTGATAATGGACCACATCGGGAGTATACCCTTTCGATAACAAAAATAATTTTGAAAATTGTTCCACAATTGACGAAGATGTTGCGTAACAAATATACAAAAAAATAGAAACATACAGCCGAATTGTAACCTCCTATTACGTGTTTTTGAAGTCGGTTAAAAAATACAGTGAGCACAAGAAAAAACTATAATAGTTCCAAAGGATATATTTAATATTAATTTCATTTTACACTACTTTAAGCACCTTATCTAGGACTAGGATTTCAAATGAAAATTAACAATTCTGTTTCGCTTTTAAAAGTTCACTTGTAGACGTTTGATTCATAATATATTAAAATGTAGGTACTGTTAGTACCAAATAGATGTTTTTTTATTGTAATTGAGAATTCTGAGTTTTTTTTTCTCTCAATATACTAAGGGACAACGTAGCCCACAATTCGCCCCTTTGCGATAGTCTCGCCAATAAAGAACCACAGATAAACTTCCAGACCGACAAGAAAGAGCAACCAGGCTTGTTTCACTGTCAGGTGAGTTACGGCACCCGTCTTCATAAATTCTTTGAACAATTTAATGTCATGCGCAATTCTCTGGAACAAAAAGACTACAATGATAACAAAATCAGAAAAGGTATGAAATGTTGCTGTAGAAGAATGCAAACATTTAAAAAAACAGGACTTGTTTATTGTACACAATAGAATTGACTCAAGCCAATTACGAGATACAAGTAACTATTTTTAATTATAATAAGGCCGTATTTGTTGTACGAGGAAGTGTGCGGCAAGGCGCACTGTGAGTAAACCACAGCAGCTAACATCAGTCTTTATCCAAACCTACATTGGTTTTTAACTGCTTAATAAAATAATTTGGACCTTTAGCTTAGCCTTCCGAGTTAGGGCTAACAAGAAGTTACAATAAAAAATCAACAACACTTTAGGTTTTTAATATTAAATTAAATTATTTTAAAGTTACATTTCAACTGTAAGATTGAAAACCTCCGAATTTTAAGGTAATTTAAAAGCAAGGTTTCATAAGCATACTGTATATTTATATTTCATTTCTTTAATGATTTATCGAATGACTGGCAAAATAATAATCCTGTTTCAGAGGACTCTCAGATTCGAGCCTTACTCCAATTTACTTTCTACTTTTGTCCTGTCTGAAAATGATTACATTTACAAACGACTGTTGGTGTCAAAAGAGACGAACTAAAAGCATGTAAAACTACATTTCAAAAAGTCCAATAAATTTCAAAAACTAGCAGACATAATTCATAATTATGTCTGCTAGTTTTTGAAATTTGATTTGATGTCTGAATGTCACAGCAGAAAATAATAATAACGTATTGCATATCTTACTAAGTAGATTGTTGGTCTAGTGGTTAGCGATATAGCGAGCCAGAGGTTGTAGGTTCGATTCCCACTCAAAATAAAATATTGTTTTTTCTGTATCTAGGTTTAGTTTAACCATAATATGTATGTATTTAAAACTATATACGTTGGGGGAGGGGCAGGACTGCGGGGTGCTGGGCTAGAAAACCTCCTCGTGGTGCACCCTGGAAACGCTGGCGATGGTACTGTTTCCTCCTTGTCCTCTTGGAGGAGAGGATTATCGCCAGCGGCCAATATTCTAGCAGAAGAGGCAGCCGTTCATCGGCTCTCGGGCAAGGCCTGGTCCAGCAGGGTGGGCGTGTCTGCCGGTTGCCCTGCTGGCTCTTCGCTCTTCGGAGCATGGAGGAGGAAACCTCGGTAAAAAACCTGATGGCGGGGCCCTGTAGGGGCCACAGTTTCTCCGCTGATAGCGGTGGAGAAAGGAGGACGGGCTCGGCGTGTACTCACACTACCACCGAGCAGGCAGGGGGACGTAGTCTCCCTGTCAACCGTCGGCATATCGTAATCCCGAGAAGAGCGCTGTGGTTAAGTCTCGCGGCTCTGATCGGGGACGAGGGTCTTGGCTTAACCGCCCGGACCGCGAGGAAGATAACCTCTCTAAAAAATTCCCCGAATCCCGTGTTCTGGTGCGTGGCCAGGGGATGCATGGCTGATGGGAAGTTCAGTCGCGAGCGCACTCCAAGCCGAGGTACCTGCGGACCCCTCGGTTGGGTTAAAAACTTACGCTTGCCCGGGTAATGGGGGATCTCTGCCCGGGTGGACCTTTAGTTCTCCCCCACTCGTGGGATTATTATGGAAAATCTTAATTTAACCAAAAAGAAAACGATCGGAAAGAAAACACAACAGACAAAGGCAAGCCTAACGGACAAGGAGACGAAGAGCAGGAACAGTGGAGTGGATGGGTCGTCCACTGAGGGCGAGATGGTGTCGGGAACGCCTATCTCGATGGGGCTCCCAGAGGTCAGTCTGACTCTGGTCACTGGGAGCCGAAGAGCATCGGATCGGCTGCGTTCCGGATCCGCCGCTTCATCGGATGGCGCGGAGGCCATGGAAGCGGAGCGGAGCGACAGCCGGAAACGCGGACGCTCAGGGGACGTGGAATCCGACACGTCCGGCGAAATGATGCCACCAAAGGTGGCAAGCAGCCGCCGAGGGAGGGCGCGCAAACCGGCCTCGGTCGCGATCCCGTCAGGCTCCGCGTTCTCCAACGCGGAGTCGTACAGGAGCGTACGGGTGGACGGCGAGGCCGTAGCGGAGGAGGAGATCGCGGATCTCCTGCTCAAGGTTCGGGAGCCGGTGGGGGGAAATGCCCCCCAGGCTCCCGTGTCCGTGCAGGAGAGGGCGAAAGCGGCGGTGGCCGTCATCGACAAGGTGGCCACCAAATCCGTGAACCTTAAGGGCTCGTTTGTGAGGGCCCTTAAGGACTCCTCCTCCGCTTTGTCGGAGGTCGTGGAGGGCCTAGCGGGCGACGTCTCTCGCCTGCAGGTGGCCAACGAGAGGCTGACGGAGCGGGTGAACGAGCTGAGTGCTCAGTTCGCCCGCTTCCAGGCGAACCTCCCCGAGCGGGAAGCCCCGTCCGCGTCCCAGCCTGCCCCTACCACCAACTCAGGGGCATTTGACTCCCAACTGCGAGAAATCCTCATCGCAGTTGGGAATATGCTGGACGGACGCCTGGCTGGCCTGGAGGCGAGACTGCCCCCTGCGCCGAGTATGCGCCCCCCGCTCGCGTCGGCACAGCGGCCTAAGGCCGCCGCTCCGACCGCGCTGCCCGTAGTGGGAGGCCGCGTCTCCTACGCGGCGGCGGCGTCTGCCCCGACTCCATCGGCTCCCCAAAAGCCGAGGAGGGGGGCCAAGGCCCCGGCCCACTCGCCGGCCAAGGCACCGGCTAAGGCGCCGGCCAAGGCACATCCCCAGGCGCCGGCCAAGACGGGGCCTAAAACGGCGCCGAGGAGCGGAGTGGCATTCCCTCCGCTCCCCACTCCGACACCCCTGCCGGGCCCCTCCGCACCTGCCCCCTCCAACGAGGGTTGGCAGGAGGCGAGGGGCTCCAAGAAGTCCCGAAGGCGGGCCAAAAAGGCTGCCAAAAAAGCAGCCCAGGCCCAGCCTTCGCCACCGGTGGCAACGGCCTCCACAAAGAGGCCGCGGAAGCTGCAGCCGCCCAAAACCGCGGCTGTAGTGGTGACCGTGTCCCCGGAGGCGGCGGACGGCGGGCTGTCCTACGCGGCCGTCTTCAAGAAGGCCCGGGACAGCCTCGCCAACGACTTCGGAACGGTGGGGGTCAGGATGCGCCTCGCCCAGACGGGAGCTCGAGTTCTCGAGTTCCCTGGGGCTGAAGGCGCAAAGACGGCGGACTCCTTCGCTGAGAAGCTGCGGGGAATATTTGCAGCCACAGATGGTGTCAGGGTCGCCAGGCCTACCAAGTGCGCGGAACTGCGCATCTCGGGCCTGGACGACTCAGTGACGGCCGAAGATGTCCGCGCTGTAATCCGGGAGAAGACGGGGTGCAGCGCGGACAACGTCAGGGTCGGCACCATCCGCCCCGGTCCAGGAGGGCTTGGCGCCGTGTGGGTCAGCTGTCCCGTAGCGTCGGCCAAAGTATTGGCCGACGCCGGCAGGCTGCTCATCGGTTTCGTGAGCGCCAGGATCACAGTCCTGGCGGCGAGACCGATGAGATGCTACAAATGCCTGGCATCGGGACACACGCGCGTCAAGTGCGACAGTTGTTTTGACTGCGGCGGACTGTGTTTCCGCTGCGGTCAACCGGGGCATAAGGCGGCAGAATGCTCTGCCGCCCCTCACTGCCCAGTGTGTGCGGCGGGCAATAAGCCCGCCAATCACCAGATGGGGCAGAGAGGCTGCAAGCCTCCCCGCAGTTCTCGGCAGACGTCGGGGGTTAGCCAGTCGACCCAGGCTGCCTCCGATGTAGTTCGTGCGTCGACGTCGTCGCCCATGGAGGAGGTTGTAGAGACGATCCAGTAATGGATCAAGTCTCCAACCTCCTGGTCCAGACGAACCTGAACCACTGTGCCGCGGCGCAGGATCTCTTCCTGCAAACCATGGCACAGTGGTCGATAGGTGTTGCCGTAGTCGCGGAGCCCTATTCTGTCCCTCCCCGTCCAAACTGGATGGGTGACTGGGACGGCTCCGTGGCAGTCGTCGGTTCCACGACGGCTCATTCCCCGCCCTTGTCGCTAAGAGACAAGGGCACTGGATATGTTGCCGTCGAGTGGGGGGGGATCACCATATATGGTGTCTATTTCTCCCCCAGCCGGAGTTTGAACGACTTCGAGGTTTTCCTAATCAGCTTGGAGACCTCGATACGGCGACTAGCGTCTGGGCACGTCCTTGTGCTGGGGGACTTCAACGCAAAGTCCATTGCGTGGGGTTCCCCCAGGACGGACGCCAGGGGCGGGGCCGTAGAGGAGTGGGCGGCCTCGGTGGGCCTCTGTCTTCTAAACAGAGGCTCCACCAACACGTGCGTGCGACAGCAGGGGGGGTCGATAGTGGACCTCTCGTTCGCTACCCCTGCCCTCGCCGCACGAGTAAGGAACTGGCGTGTCCTGGAAGAGGTTGAGACGCTCTCGGATCACCTGTATATCCGATTTGAGCTCTCCCGGACCCAGGACTCCAGTAGGGGTCACGTGGCGCGGCGTTTATCCCGCTTTCCGCGGTGGGCTGTTGCCAGGCTGAACCGGGACCTACTAGAGGAGGCAGCCATAATTCACTCGTGGCTGTCTCCTCAGGCTCCGACCGAGGAGGTCGACGTGGGGGCTGGCCGCTTTCGCGATGCGATTACGCATGTATGCGATGCGGCCATGCCCCGCGTTCGAGGTCGTCGGCCTCCAAGGAAGGAGGTCTACTGGTGGTCCCAGGAGCTGGCGGACCTCCGTGCGGCCTGTACACGTGCCCGGAGGTCCTACACACGCAGTCGGCGGCGTCACCGTGGAGACGGTGAGGAGGACCGGCTTCATGAGGAGTACCGGCGGGCGCGGAAAACTCTGAAGCTGGCCATTAGCCGCGCCAAAGAGGAAAAGAGACAGGAGATGCTGGAGGGTCTTAATCGTGACCCCTGGGGTCGCCCTTACCGCGCGGTGCGACAAAAGCTCCGCGCGTCGGGCCCCCCCCTTACGGAGACTCTCCAGCCCAGCTTCCTGCGAGAAGTGGTTGAGGGCCTTTTCCCACAACGAGCGGAACACACTCCCCCGTCGATGGCCTCCCTGGCCGGAGACGACGGGGAGCACGGGGAGGACAATGTTCCGCCCGTCCGGGATTCGGAGGTAGGGGCGGCTGTTCTACGGATCCGTTCCAAGAACACCGCCCCTGGGCCAGACGGGGGTACCGGCCCGAGTGCTGGCCCTGGCCCTCAACCACATGGCAGACCGCCTCGGGGAGGTGTTCGACGCTAGCTTGGCGTCGGGACGCTTCCCTGAGTGCTGGAAAAGCGGGAAGCTGGTCCTATTGAGGAAGCCGGGACGGCCAGCCGATTCGGTCGCGGCCTATAGGCCCATCGTGCTGCTGGACGAGGCGGGCAAATTGTTTGAGAGGGTTCTTTCTGCCCGCATCGTCCGGCACCTCTGCGAGGTGGGCCCCGATCTGTCGGACGCCCAGTTTGGTTTTCGGGCGGGGCGTTCGACAGTCGACGCCGTGTTGCGCCTGAGGGCCGTGACCGAAGAGGCCGTGAGCTGTGGCGGCGTGCTGTTGGCGGTGTCACTGGACATCGCCAACGCATTCAATAGTCTGCCATTCAGCTGCATCAGGGAAGCACTCCACTATCATGGGGTGCCAAAGTACCTGAGGCGGCTAGTGGCAGACTATTTAGAGGAGCGTACCGTCGTGTACGAGGACCGAGAAGGTAATCTGAGGTGTCGGCCCATGTCGTGCGGTGTTCCACAGGGGTCTGTTCTTGGACCCCTCTTGTGGAACATAGGGTACGACTGGGCCCTTCGCGCCGATTTCCCCCCCGGGCTGGGTGTAATCTGTTATGCAGACGATACCCTCGTGACAGCCCGGGGGGCAAACTTCCAAGAGGCGGCGCGCCTGGCCACAGGGGGAGTCTCCCTGGTGGTCGGGCGCATTGAGGCGCTGGGCTTACGGGTGGCCCTAGATAAGACGGAGGCCCTGTTATTCCATGGGCCCCGTCGTGGTCCACCCCCTGGCGCCTCAATCGTGGTCAACTCGGTCCTCGTACCGGTTCGGGCCCAGATGAAATATCTGGGCCTGATCCTCGACGGGAGGTGGCTCTTCGACGAGCACTTCCGACAGCTTGCTCCAAAGCTGGTCGGCGCTGCGTCTGCCCTAGGGCGACTTTTGCCCAATATGGGTGGACCCAGCGTCGCGACAAGACGGCTGTACACGGGGGTTGTCCGGTCAATGGCACTGTACGGTGCACCGGTGTGGGCGGCGGCTCTGACCGCCCAGAATAGGGTACGCCTCTGGCGCCCTCAGAGGGTAATGGCGGTCAGAGCCATACGCGGTTACCGCACCGTTTCGACGGATGTGGCGTGCGCGTTGGCCGGAACTCCCCCGTGGGATTTGGAGGCGGAAGTGCTCGCCGAAGTTTATCGGCGAGTGGCTGACTACCGGGCGGAGAGCGGATTTCGCCCTCCGCCCGAGGATGTGCGCGAGTGGCGCGAAGCCGCTCGCCGAGCCACGATGGCTCGTTGGTCGTTCCGGCTGGAGACTCCACGCGCTGGCTTCGCCGCCGTGGAGGCTCTCCAGCCGGTCATCGCCGAGTGGGCAGGGCGGCAGCACGGGACCCTTTCCTTCCGACTGACGCAGGTGCTTTCCGGGCACGGTTGCTTCGGAAAGTACCTGCACACGGTCGCTAGGAGGGAACTGAGTCCCGCCTGCCACCACTGCGACTGCAGTGAGGACTCGGCCCAGCACACGCTGGCGGTCTGCCCCGCATGGGCGGCGCAGCGCCGGGCCCTCACTGCAGTCATCGGAGTGGATCTCTCGCTACCGGCCGTAGTACGCTCCATGGCCGGTAGCGACAGTTGTTTTTACCGCGGTCGCAACCTTCTGCGAGGTAGTAATCTCGCGGAAGGAGGCGGCGGAAAGGGCCCGGGAGGACGACCTCCACTCGGACCCGATCCGCCGCCGGCGAACCGGGCGGCGGAGGCCCGCCTACCACAGCCTCATGCCGCCCTGAGTGTGGCCGCGGGTGGACGGGGTGGGTTTCCCCTCCACCCGCATTAGTTGGCCAGCCGCGAGGGGGCGGCGTCCGCGTGTGCCGGACGTCGCCTAAAGAGAGGAACATCTACATCGAGACGGAGCCCGCACCAGGAGCGGGCTGGCGCTAGGAGGGGTCCGGATGTCTTAACAACAGCTGTTCCCGGATCCCTCCTGTTACAGGCGCAGAGTGGCACACCGTGTGGTTTTAGTCGGTCCGAGTCCGACACACCACCCCGCCGCAAACCCCGGAGGGGTGACGGTCCGAGGGGATTTCCACACGTTAAAAAAAAAAAAAAAAAAAAAAAAAAAAAAAGGGGCAGGACTGCACACGATGCACTTGTTTTTCTTGAGTTGCGGGTGTAATCAAGGCTGCGGTAATCACTTACTACCAGGTGTCACAACCTGCTCGTTTGCCTCTGGATGGAAACGGATTGAATTTTGTGAGACCAAATAATAGGTGTCCCGATTCTGGATGTCTGTTGTTAAAATTTATATAATCACACGCAACACACCGAGTATTCCTTGTGCGGAAGACTTCTTAAAAAAATAGATGCATATAGTATGTGTGGAAATACTTTTACTCTTAAAATGGACGTGTAAAGAAAAAACTCCGCTTTAAACATTTTTTACGTAAGCCTAGATTCCTACGTGCTGCAGAGGGCAGGAAATTACGTCAGCAAACAATCTAAATATGGGTTTACATTCATCAATACATCGGCAGTCTATTAGCAGCTGAATATACACAAAAAAGAACTGTGTAAACATGTTGAATCATGATTACAGCTATTATAGAAGTTCATAGTTTATACTATAATGCCATAAATAGGTACCTAACTGCATCTGTTCTCAGCAGAATAACAACACTTGGTACGATTTAAAGAAAAATAATCTTTTTTTTATAAGTTATCAAGATTTATTATTGAAGAGCTCGTGGTTAAGTGGTAACGTATTGCAAAGTTAGGCAACCCCAGCCAGGTCAGTCTATAAATAGGTGACCATTCGTAAAAAATCGTAATTGGAGCCCTAAATAGTCCACCAACAGTCTTCTGGAGATAGACTTGGGGTGTGGAGGTCGAAAATCGAAGTTCAGCCACGTCGCAGAAGACTGAAAGGTAACCCCAACCTAGCTTGGGCCAAAAGGCTTGGAGGATAATCATTAAGATTTTATTACTTCTCACCGTTGATTCTTAACAAAAATGCTACGAAGTAATAAATGTTGTGTAAATAACGGGCGTTGAAAGTCCTTCTTGTGTCCGCACTTCGACAAGAACGTCCAATTTTTTGTAAACATATATGTGCTGAGGCGCGTTTTTATCCGATACATTCTGTTTTTCCAAAACGAGGTTGTAAGAAAATTTCCATTTTGCTCCATTCAGGGAAATTGATAATGTGCATACATTGGTATACGAAATACAATATTTTATTTCCTCAAAATAGTGTACGTACTATTACTATTCAAAATGGTGTACTAGTACATTATAAGTACGTTGTATATGTCTAATTAAAATTATTTTATCATCACTCGGGATATTTAAAGTGTAGGTACTTTCAGAGAACAGAACTATTTTAGAATTCTATTAATAGAAAAAAGTCTTACCTTTCCTTCATTAATACTAGGTGGTGACATTTCTAGAGTGTAAAACCCCTTGAAAACTTTCATTTTTTTTGCAAGTTCAGACTGCCGGGCCATTTCTGCCTTTTCTAGACACATCAATTTCATAACTTAGTACTTATCTGGTTATTAATACTGTTATATAAAAATATATTTGATTTAGATTAGGATCTATACAATTTCATATGGAATTTCAATACGAGATTGATTTAAATCAATCGATCTCCTGGTGAGTATACCGAATAGTTGTAAAACATTGTTGTGTTATCAAAATGGAGTAGAGTAATATAAAGATAAGCAAACACTTTATCCAGTTGATATTATTTAAATGTTTATATTATGAGCTAGCTATTGAGAGATACAGTGAGACGTCCTCTATTTGTGTTAGCACAAACTCTAACCGTTTAGGTACATATTGTTAGTGATGATGTCATTAAAACTACGAAAAAGGCTGGAAAGGAAGCAGCCCGAAGCAGTCGCACGACCAGTCGCTTGTGGGTGTGTCAGCTGCTGTATTTCCGAACCGTTAAGACCTTCCGACCTTCAAGAAAAGAGCGTACTCCTTCCTTAAAGGCCGCACTTGTGACTCTTGAGTTCGGCGGTAGTCACTTACCATCAGTTGTAACTTATGCTCGTTTGGCCGCTATACCATAAACAAAGTTTAGTACACATCTGCAAAATTTCTGTTATGTATCCCTATCAACATAATTCTATTTAGGGTGTGTGATTGTCAACAAATTATTATACCTTTAATCATTTCAATCAATTCTTCTTTCCGTTTAGTTATCGAAGGCCTGTAGACTTCTGTCAATTGATGAAACATTGTCAATCGGTGGCCTGAAAAGAAATTTATGAGACTAGTAGGTAACCGGTATTTTACTAACACAGATTACGTGATCAACAATTGCGATAATCACTCATCTGACTATGACAGATCCCTGTTCTGTTATGAAACTCTACATTTCAAATATAAACTCTGACTACATTATCAGGCAAAAGTAAATTTTAAAGACGTTCAGTTCTTATAGTTCCAGTAATAACATGTAAGCTCTGCACGGGGCTCTATGCCAGAGCACGGAAGCAAGTCGCACCACCTTTCCCTCCAAACATCTTATCTTTATCGTTATAGTGGTATCAACTTTGAAAGATTTATATTACATAGTAATAGTAAAAGTGATAGATATGTGAAATTATGGTACGTTAAGTCCATGGCGATTTCTACACAAAAAATAATTCAGGTTGTGACGATAGGTTTGGTTAAATGCTTAGAAAAGTTTTAACATTTCATGATAGACATATTATACGGATTTAAGGAAAAAAATTGCATGTGCTTTTGAACCTGTTAATTTTTTAATTGTACATCACCATTTTTGCCAAACCGCATCTTTAAAAAAAACGTAATTTCTAGGTGTTAGCAACAATCAGTGAAACAAAAACTTACGAATGGCATTGCTAGCAAATTTTGCTACGCCTAAACTGCTAGATAATGGGGCCATGATGTTATGTTAAAGGATTCATGAATATTTTTGTAACTCCGGTTGACAATTGACACATGAAAAAAAATCCGTAGATATTTAGCATTTATTCAACACACGGTTAATTCAAAAAGTATGTATATTTACAATGAATAATGAATACTCTTTTATAGGTATTGAATTATTTACTGCACTATTTTGACATACTACTCGCAATTAACATTATAATGAAAGCATACTTAGTAGAAAACTACTACCAAATAAACTATATCTGTAGTCACAAAGTCTAATTGAACTATGGGCGTTAAAAGACCTTTAACATAATGGGTACCGAAAACTTTAAATAAAACACAAAAGACTGCCTTGGTTTGCACAAACTTTGAAATCAATAAAGTTGATATTTTCTCAGAAAGCTAAAGGAATATTATCAACGAAAGACGGGACGATGATACACTTGTTTACATAGTTTTAATCAAAGAAAACGAGTTTACTCACAAGTTTCTCTCCATTAGGTCCGAGCAGCTTCGTCCCGATGAAGGCTTTTTATCGAGGAGTAAAACATCCTGACGCATCATTTGTGGATGCAACACACACAAACATGCATCTTGTTACTTTTCAATAAGTACTAATAGGAAGGTAAAACGAATTGTCGGCAGAGTTCGATGCATTTAATGTAGATCAAAATTGCCTTTTGCAGAATATCATTCAAATTAATAGCTTAGTAGATATCAGGGATGCGGGGGCAAAGGGGCCGTCACCGCGTCAGGCCGAGTGACAGTGGCCGGCAAGAGCGGAGCGGGCCTATAAATATTGCATATAAAGATGTCCTCCTATACTAGTCTTATCATAATAATAGTAATAATACTCCACACTGACACCATGTTAGTAGTATTAGTAGTATCTACATTGCACCCGTCCAAAGCCGGGGCGGATTACCAATAACTTAGTGTTTTTACGGCGAGTAATTTAAAGATTTTATAAAAGTGTTCATTTCGGCAAGTAGTCATTTCAGGAAGTAGTTTTTTATTAGTCTTATCCGGAAAGTGTTCATTTCATGTAAGTAGTAATCTCAGGACAGTCTTCAATTTCGATCTAAAGGCTAAAAGTAACAAGCTAGAAGCAACAACTTTAATCATAAACAATTTAATCATCTAATTAATGGGTACTTTATTTAATCACTTAGTTTTGTAACATTGTAGTACAAAAAACGTGTTCCTTCCTAGTAAAAGACACTACCGTATTTTTAGGTATGAAAAAAGCTGTTAAATCCTAAAGATCCTGATCAGGATATCTGCCCAATTTATCAAACTATTGTATTGTCATCAGTCCTTGATAAGTATGCGAAGTTTCAATTTCATTCAAAGTTTTGAAGTGGGTCAAAATCCCGTTTGAAGATTTCGTTACACACATACATACCAAGTTAGTAAAAGCGTGTTAAAAATGAAATAATTATTGTATTCACTATAGGTCTTTAATGAAAGTAAAGAAATAATAATACAATACAGATGATAGACGATTTGCAATTGGCATTGGTAACAGGCACTTTTTTATTTCTCTTTTATAACAATTGCCTACTGTAGCACTCACAAAAGTAAAAAAATACATGGTGGTCATGAACATAAGTTGGACAAACTTGGATGTGCGGAAGAAGAAATTTTTATTTTGCCAAACCTTACCAAACATGTATATTTATTGTAGAAGTCGTTGATTTCTTTGCTTTTCTTATGCATTGAAGTGTTTTAACCACATGGGCCTTTTTTAGGGGGCTTACACGGATCACATACTATTTTTTTAGGGGGTGGAGTTGGACATGGTTCACATTTTTTTGGAGCGCACAGGTCTGGGACACATTTTTTTTTCGGAGCTGGTGCACAAGGATTTTTTCTTGGGCCACATGGGTCTTTTCTTGGGCCACATGGGTCTTTTCTAGGGCCGCATGGATTTGATTTGGGGCATGGATCTTTTTTAGGACCACAAGGATTACTGCAGACGCATGGTTTTTTGCGAGCACCACCTGGAAAATAGGCAGCGCATATATCTTCTGATGAGCGACTAGATTTACTTTGAGTTTTGCAAGGGTAACACGGTGTAGTGGGGCCACGTTTAAGGTGATCAGGCGCATTTGGACATCTCGGTACGATTTTATTGCCTTTTGCCTGTCCTAATGAAACAGTGTTGTGTATCAGTAGTTTCACAGGTTCCTGTGCCAGTTTTTTCAAAGGATCTTTTTTTTTGTTTATTTTTCGTGGACCTGTATTAATTCTCAATGCGAGTCGGGGTTCTTCTCTTATGTGTTGGTTTATTAAAGTACCAACTGACTTGAAATGTCTTGAAGCGTCTGAAAACAATAAAGTTAAGAGTAAGTATATATGTAACGGAAATCGGAAAAATGTTTTTTTGGGAATTATAAAAAAAAACAAGCTTGTTCAGAAAATAACTCTAACCATGGATGTTACTAAAAAAATCTGATCTCTTTTGTCAGTAACGTATGCAATAATTGCTAAAGAAAAATCCAAAGAATTTGCAGCACACTTGCCACTTTTTTGAAGTATATTATTCAAGGACTGTACAGTAGAATGGAAAAGAAAGATTGCGATACGTTCTCCCTATCATAAAACGATTTTTCAAATGTGAATCTTGTTAATTTTCGTTCTCAATAAGAACAATATTTTATATATACATACATCTAACAATAAGAATACATAAATGCATATGAGATCAAATCAGAATGTTTTCGTTTAAGTTAGAAAGAACTTGTAGTATGTGTACCAGTATGTATGTAAGTATGTATTGTAGTATGTATAGTATTTTTAATTTATATTTGGATGAGTAAAAATTATTTATGATAAATAGATATATTTCATAGGTTTACACGTTACTTATTGCTCGAACTTGTTGTTATACATACCACCTGTTTAAAGTTAATAGTTTTTTTTATGGAAGAGGGGGCAAACGAGTTCAGCCAAAGGTTGCCTAGAAGAAATTGATCTAAGCGATACTAAGCTTACTAGTTACCAACTGTAGTGGGAAGTGCGCATTTTCACAGCTAAACAGATTAAAATCGGAATTACGAACAATTGTTCGTAATTCCGATATCGCTCCTGTAACATAATTATGTTACAGGAGCGATTAGCTAATTTGTCATCTATTCTGTATCTTCAAAAAAATAGATTTTGAACATTTTTGAAGATTTTGCACAACAAAATCCCGAAAGAAATCACTATTAAAATCGTAACTGATTCACACCATCAGCATGCTTATCGAATTAGTACCATGTGTACAGTGAAATTAGTCTCGAGAAATTTTTGCATATGTAGTGGTGTGTATATTACTCAGATCTTAGAGCGCGTTTCCACTATATCGTTCTGGCCTATACAAAAATGTTTCGATATCCTAAGATTACTATTTAATTTTATACTTATTCCTAGCAACACTCTGATTTTTGTTTTCAATAAAAACAAGTTTTTATTTTAAAGATTCACACACGATAGAAGTGAAACTTCAAAGAGGAGAGACCGATATTTAATTTTTTTTTTTCCTTTCATCTAGGTTTTTAAAACTCCGAGGGCTCTACGGGGGGGTCAAAATTTTTGTTATTTTTGGCCTAGGACGCACCGTTTCCGAGATATTTCAATCTAAAGCAAAAAATCGTCACTTGATAGTGGAAAGTGGAAACACGCACAACCATACACTACTACAAACGCAAAAATTTCTCCAAGCTAATTTACCTGTAAATTTGATTATGATCAGAAAAATATTTTAGTCATTCATTTTGTTTTACTCTTCAACAGGGCCCAAAATCTTGTGTGCCCAGGGGCCCCGGCATAGCCTAAGACGGCCTTGTCTATACTCAGTGTCAGAAAACATCGACGTAACTACGTACTAAAATCTAATTACATCGATGTCATCATTGATTTTATAATCATAAAGATAAGCCACTTAATGAAATTATTTTGGCAGTTTGTTTAGGTATTCATTATTACCAAAATAATGAATACCTAAACAAACAACTTCTGGCGGTGGTGCTGCTCGAGCCATTTTTATAACCAATAGACCGTTTTAAAGATAAGCACAATTAAAATGAACCGAAGTATATAGTAAAACATAATGTGGGTCTTCAAAAATGATTAAAAATCATTTAAGAATCTTAAACTTTTTTCCTACAGCTTAAATTTAACATCAAATATCACAAGACTTGCCAGTGCACTAAGTAGATAACTATTTCTTTGTTTTTTTTAACCGACTTCAAAAAGGAGGAGGTTTTCAATTCAGATGTTTTTTTTATATGACGGACGGATTTGCAAATTTTTTTTTGTTCGAATGGGGTTTATTCCGAAACGGTCCCATTTAAATTTCATATAGATTGGAGTTTCGGAGACAGACAAAGGAACTCTTCAAAAATGACAGCAAATCAACCGCGATTGCTGTAGGTTTTTAGTGCTGTTTGATAGGATTACTTGAAGTCGGTTCAACTTTTTTTTTTAAAGGATTGATAAAGCTTATCAAGATAAGCTAATATTTGTATGTATATTCGAAGTACCCTGAACTTCACTATGGTTATATTGATTCGATCGCATTGCACTGATCCTGAACGCACAACGAACGAACCTGTTTCTGTTTGGAATGAGCCCTGTACATGTTATCAGTAAAACATCCTTGTCAACTTATATACAAAACTTATGATAATTGGATGAATAATACGGCAGCGTACATGATACAAAAGATTGCAGCGCTAAAATCACAATAACACCGACGGATCCTAAAAAAGTTAAGATCAAATAAGTGAAAAGTTCCTTGGCGCTTTTATTTTCATCATATTATATACTTTATATGGTTATATGCAATGAAAATGGCTTAAGACACGATTATACATTTAGGGCAGCAAAATGTATGTATGCATGTACTAAAGTAAAGTTTTTGGATTGAAGAAGAAATTGGACTTTCGCCACTCAATAACATGTGATCTGCGTCAGTGTAATAGTTGAATTCATGTTGAAGTATATTTTACTAAATTAAAAATTTTGTAAGACATTTTCTTAATATGTTTGTTTTTCACAAAATATAGTATGTGAAGTGACGTCGATTGCTGGTTGACAGTTGATATTCTGTACAGTACTAACATACTGTTAATTCGAATGTTATTTGAGAAGTCTGTTTTTCTATTAACAATAAAAAACGTGTTATGTTATAATAACTGTCATAAGTACCTACTTATTAAAGATTTAAGATTTAAGCAAACTTTGACAGTAGTTATGGACTTCTCGGAGATTTTAAGACATAAAACGAGTTAACATCGTTACAATTTTGTGAATCAGGATTATTTACTTTAAATTGCTACTGGACTACTATGATTTCAGTATTTATACTATGCGTAAATTTGTATGAGGGCGTAATACTTTTGTGATTGGAATATCTAATTTATCTTTAAGAAATATGATTAGGTAGTTGTTTTTCATTTGCATTATTTTGATTTTTACTTTAACATTGCTTTGTATCATGAACCTATTACAGACGGTATTGATTCTTATTTGATCATGAGCTAAAATTATTTATAAATAGGTACATTACAATACAGTACATTTTTATAATCTAACGAAATTGTAAGAATTAACTTTAATATTAACTTAATCACGATTTTATAATGGAGACACACTATAATCAAACAAAAAGCCCTTGACCAATTAAAGTTTAATTGGTCGATTATTTCGTATGTAGCGATACAAGTTTAAAAAAATTATTAAAATAGAATTATTATTGTTAAGGCGTGGTGAACAAATACGTGACCAGCTTTACAGTACCAGTGCCGGCTCATATTGCAGACTTGGAGTACATGTGGCAGGCCCTTGGCGGTTGACCGGACAGTCATGAAGTTAGTCTTTTTATACTAGTCAGCATACTTCTGTATTTTAATACTTTAATAATAATAATAATTTTTTTATAATTTTTTATAAAGTGTATGTTTAAAAATGTAAATAATATGTATATAAAGTAAATAAAGAGAATAATACCTAATAACTAAAAGACTTTTTAATGGATACATAGTTACGTTTCTCATTTTGTAATAATAAAGTAGTAAGTGATGAAAGCGTTATTACGGTTTGACTGTAAAACTTCGCTTATGAGCAATTGACGTCAATAAATTTCGTGAGAGCGGTTACGTTTAGCGTTTTAATTTTTATTTATTTTTTTGTTTTATTTTAATGTTTTAACTGTGATAACTATTAAATGGAAAATAAAGCTCTCTGCTCGTAAGGCAACTATATTACGAAATAGCAATTTATAATAAATGTTTTTACAAATGTTATACATCTGTAGTAGGCATTACCTATCACGACTTATGTACCTATGTGTCATAATTATTACAACTCACTGGAGTTTTTGTTCTGAGCGTTTCAAAATAATGAAACAGACAGCATTTTATTGACTGTGGGAGATAAAATTTTAAATCTTACGCAAAAAAACGGAACTTCATCAACAGCCTTTAATAGTCCACTGCTGGACATAAGCCTCTCCTTAGAAAGGAGGTTTTGGCCTACTATACCACGCTGGCCAGACGGGTTGGTATAGGGTTTGTGTCAAGTTTTCCTTCTCTCTGCAGTGCTGATGTCCTGCGTAGTTTTTTCCCTTAGTCGCCTCTTAAACGGAACTTATCATAAATTAAAGAAAAAGATAAAAAAATAACAACTTACGACGAACATTCTTGCAAAAATTGGCTACGTTTAGGGCCATTATATTTTACAGTTTTTACTTTTAAAATTTATACCATGTCCACTAATTTTTAAATGAAATTTAAATATTTAATTTTTATCCATTTTTCGATTGAAAAATTTTCACATGACAGATATATGGAGAACTTTTAAAAGTTTTTAAAGAACAATATTTAATGAACAAAGAGGTCATTTATAAACCATAGAGTTACTCTTTTAACCAGTGATATTTGAAGCACTGGCCTCTTGTATTTGACTAGTTGGGTCCTACCACGCTTTGCTGTGCTGTGGTATATTGTGGTTGCATTAATGAAAAATGAGAAAAAAAACTGACGCGAAAAATAAAAAAACATCTTTAAACCAGGATTTATATCGTATCAAAATTTGAGCTCGGTGCAGAACTTTCTGAGTGTTTGAAGCGTACACAAATCAACTTTACATTTTTATATACTTATGTAGATTTGTATGTTACAATTCTTCCTTTAGATAATAGCTTGGTGTATATTACATACAAATTAATTCCTTATTAAAGTAAACTTAAACTATAATTCCTTGAATAAATTAACTTTTCTCCAAACCCTCCTCCAAAACTTCAAGAAAAGAGGTGGAAAATCCCTTTAGATCTCCGGCTCTTCGGGGACGCAGGAGCCAGGAGTATGTGATGTTTCCACTAAGAACCACCCCGACAGCCGGTCTCATGCACCCTGCCTTGGGGAGGACCCGGACCATGTTATTTCAGGTCCCTCCCGGATCGACGCCGCGCCTAGCCAGGCCCTACAACGGGGAAATAAGGCTTCCCCCGCCTATCCGCCAATCTTTATAATATGTTGAGGCCCGATCGCATTTTTCGGTCCAGGCGCCCATGGCCGGCGGAAGTCGTGTATTGTCAAAGACCAATTTAAAAACAACGCGCCAGTAACGTGGACCCGTGGTTTCGTTGACAATACCACTTTCCTCCACGTGACCCATATGCTCGTTTGCCCCCAAATCCTTAAAAAAAAATCTTATACGAACGAAGTTCCTTTATTAAATAGTAATTTTTAATCCAGAACTTCGCTCGCGCTTAGCTCGATTTTCGATCGATCGAATCGAATGATTTCATAAAAGCAGGGGGTTCTCAATTAAGTAGTATGTAATTAAGTAGGTTCCTAATGTTTTAGGTTTAAAAAAACGATATCTCTGATATCAGAACTAGACAGATGGCTGGATGAATGGATTTCTTCGGCCACAATCTTCGGTGACTCTTTATTAGGATTTTTAGGAGAGGTCTGTTACCGTGAATACGTAACTTTAATTTTTTATTTATTATAATGGACGCACTGAGAAGTAAAGGGTCTAGAATAAAATACGTTGTTATGATTGTGCTTAATCATTTTAATAAAATACTTAAGATTGTAAGCCTGCCAAAGACACTTGAATGGAAAGAAGAGTGCATTTTCCGACTATTAATAAAAATCTATTACTGATTTAGAAGAACCTACCTTTTAAAGATATATTACGACAATTAAAAGTACAAACAAATGTAATAAATCTAAACAGACAGAAATAAAGAACGAATACATAGACGTCAAAACACTGGTACTTTGTACTCACTAAGATTTAACTATAATTCACCCTTTTAGGGTTCTAGGCTTTTATGATATTTTGTGTCGGTTACAAATATTTTAATTTTGGTTTCTGAGTACATTTTTTTTGCCTTGACGCTCTTTTCCCACTACTCATTTTCTTTGGCTTTGACTCTTTTAACTTTGATGAAGGAGCATTTAAATTTTCCACTTTAGTGTTTGGTTTAGTTGCGCCGCGCTTTGCTTTATATTTCTTCTCCTTGGTGCTTTCAGGTGCAACTCTAGATATTATGCTTTTACTTTTAGGTCTCTGTTGTGCCGTCAAAGGGCAATATAATGAGGAAACGATCTTGTTTTTGCCCCATATACTGATTTCAGTTTGAGTACTTCGGTTCTCCATTTTAGGCACATTATTTGTTATCTTGGCCTTGTTTACAGGCAAATTTAAGGGCTTCAAGGCAACTTTCATGGCCTCTACATCTACAACTATAGCTATGTCTCCATTCACCATTTTGACAGCACAATCTTTATCTTGTTGTTCTTTAATACTCGTTTAGTATTCTTTCTTATGCTGCTAATACTATTCACACTCCGCGTTCATACACATACGTGACGGAGGATGAATGGGAGGAAGTAAGAATTACCTGAAAACACACCAGGTATAATGTGACAAACAGTAATAAAAATATTAAAATACATACAAATATTTCTCAATGAGTTTTAATGTAGAATGAAGAGCGGCTCTATTAGACGACATTATTCTCCATAAAACTGAAAACTGCTAAAGCAATAAAGAGATTCCAATCTAAATAGCGTGTAAAGAAAGCATTATATGAACTCGGTTTAAAGGTGCTTATTCTAAACTTCTCATGACATGAATATGTCCTCTACATAAATACATGACATCTAAAATTGGAATAAATCTTTCGAACTTTAAAAATACATTGAAGCATGTAAAACATGTGATTGTATTCCATTTATTTCAAGTCTATACATGCCGGTATATTTATATAAATTGTTTTTAATGAAAATAAAACTTACAAAGCATATTATTGGCAAATTTATGATATAATTTAAATTTCCTTTTGCACACCTACATTAATATCTAAATTTATTCAACTTAGCAATTTAGCTCATAATTCTGGTATAAATGTTCTTATAAAATGACATAAATCATAAATAGTATCATAGATTATGATTTTGTCTAAGGAGAAAAATTGTGTTTTGCAATAGCCATAGACACAGAGGTTAGATTCAATCGGGTCCTTGACAATAATACTGCACATCATCAGCCCCCTCATCATAATCCAGGAGGTGTTAAAACTCCACTAAGTGTACTGTCTGTTCTGTGCACCTATTTTAACATTTTCTTCAGTTTTTTTTCTACAAAAAACCCGTGTTTAAAGCTATAATTGAAGCCTCGAACGGATTTCCTACGAGTCACAGAAGATGAGCAAATGAAGAGCGAAAAATCACGATTTTTTGAGATAAAAGCGTGTTTTCTCGTAAAGTTTCTAACGAATTTGACTTCAGCAACTCTCATTTTCTTTCTTTTTTTCTCCCACTTCCTCACATTTTTTTGTTTTTCCATTAAAAAAATCCCTGTTTTTTTAATAAGCCGGTTTTCGCACCAGTTCGATATTATTTCAATAACTTGCCATGAACGGATTTTTCTAAAGTAATTTTTAAAGGAATACTCCCGTTGTAAAATCCACCAATATTTTTTTTAAATATGAAGGTACTTTGCGACGCACATCTTGTACAACCTGACCACACACTGAAACCATTCCCATAGTAATATGAGTAGACACAACAGGAATAGTGGCTAAGAGCATACACAGATTATATAAATAAGTTAAATACAAACAATAATAATACACATACTACAAAACCAGGCAGCCATTCAGACATCCACCATATTAAGTAAAGTTTTAGGGGACACGATATTTTAAAACTCAAAGGAATCCAAAATTCCTTATCCCTGAGAGTCTCAGGGCGGAAGCTAGGAAAATACCAAGTGTAAAAACTTGAGTAAAAGAAAACTAAAAAAAAAGAACAAATAATATAATATAAATAAATACATAAAGTTTGTGACAAAAATAAGGCCTAACTTATTTCAAACACTCATATCTTAATAAATATTTGAAAAGCTAAATAAAAATTATTTGGTTTACAGATTTTAAACAGTTAAAAAAAAAAATATTTTATTAAAAAAACACTTAAACAGAGGTAATACCGGAACCTTAGTCTTTGGCCTATTTAAAACAAGCCTATAAACTCAAATTATATTAATGGTTTTTTAAAGTATAAATTATATAAATATATGTGTTTCTAAGCGTGTTTAAATGAGATCCTTGCATCACTTCCTAAGTTAGTTACTAAATATTTCACATACATTGCTCGTCAGACTTGAAGTCCCACATTAACAAGAAATAAGAATTAGCCAAAAAAACTTATACAAAATGAGATTATAGCTTAGAAATGTTTTATGCTATAATTAATTCAAAAATTCGAAAAATTATATAATTAGCTTCCTCAATGCATGCAATTTATTTCAAATCTCTAAGTGCAAAATTCGTAAAGATACGGACGTGCGTTTTTACTTTTTTTAAATAACAATTTTATTTATAAAAAAAACTTTTTTGAATCAAAAAAAAATTGAGTAAAGTTTGGACTGATTAAATGCCTTATTATTTCATTATTATTTTTTTCGCAAGAAACGCAGGGCGTGTGTGGGCCTCCCGGAGAACCGGTCTACCCACTGAGGCACATCCCAGAGTGACCGTAGTCACCCTGGGGCAGGACGCTACCGTGCCTCACACTGCTCTGCAGAGTAAAAGGCGCAACGGCGTCCCACCTTAGACGCCCCCCCGGCCGCACCGGAGTGTCATCTGTCTCGGATCATTTACAGCGGTCACATCGCCCCAAGATGTGGCCGCAGCGACCCTTAGGCGGCGATTGGGGAGTTAGCGACCCCTGCCGCGTCCCCTTCGCCGCCTCCTTTGAGCGGGATCGGCCCTCTCCCGATCCCGCTCTACGGCCTCCTTTTGGAGCATAACGTCCTCGCAGAAGGAGACCGCGGCTGCCCATCAGATTAATGCTAGCGGTGACAGGTTTGGTCCAATCTGTCCGACCAAGACTCGACGTTCGGACTCCCATACAGGGCAGTCCTCCAGCGTGTGCTGGGCCTTGTCCCGGTCGGACCTGCAATGGTGGCATTGTGCCGTAACCTCCCGGCCTTATTATTACCTACAGATTGCAAAAAAATTAGTTCGGATCTGACTGTTGGGACACAAGTTATTGCTTTTTAAATTTTTTAGGTAACAATTTTGCAGTAGTCCGCCACTTTGAAGTTTCGCGATCGAACTTTTTGTGGAACAAGTTATCGGCTGCGGTATTTCCGGACCGATACGACCTTCAAACCTTCAAGAAAAGAGCCCTTTCCTTAAGGGCTGACAGCGCGCTTGTGACTCCTGAGTTGCAGGCGTTCATGGGCAGCGGTAGTCGCTTTCCATCAGGTGACCCGTCTGCTCGTTTGCCCCCATTCCATAAAATAGAAAAAAAAAGAACTAGGGGGACTTAACGGATATTTTGTAGATAACCATATCTACAAAATACCAACCTAAAAAAATTTCTAAAATTCCAACGTCTTTAAGATACTTCTTCACTCACTTTTCCGTTTTTCCAATTCCAGGTTTTAGGGCCAAAAATCAGAGTCATTAATCTCTATGTTAAATGGTCTCCTGAACAACTTTTACACGAAACTTATACACATATATAATTACACTTATACAATACTTTTTGAAATAACTTTCGAGAACCAAAAAAAAGCCGATTTTCGAACTATTTTGCAATATAAAACTATGACGCGTATCTCAGTTTTTCTAGACACTTCAGGATGAGTCCTGAAGTCTCGATATAATCGACGATCGAAGTCTCGATAGATACGTATGTTTTTCTTAATTTTAAGCCAAATTTCGGCTTGATGAAATCGACCACCACTTTCCCTAATTCTCATGTCTCTGGGGCCGCGACTATAATTCAGAGGTATAGTCACAGTTTTAATAGCAACACTGTGGTCTGTATACATACAAACAAAACTTCATAACATTACGTAATAAAACTCGATGGAAAAACTTCCCTCTTTCACACTGCTTCCATTGTCGCTGTAAATGCGAAAAAACTTCTTGTGTAATGTTTCCCGATCCGTGGAGCTGTCGTCGTCTATGAGTGTGAGACGTATGTATAATGTAAATATACATTTTGAATGACTTTTAACTAGAGGCCTTAATCGAGCAAAGGCCTTTTTGTATCAGGTATCTTACATACCTACATAAATACATAAGATCTACCTTTTCATTACGGAGGGAAAGAAAATATAATAATTATGGTTTATGTAAAGTATAAATGAAGATGATAGGTAATGTTCTTAGACCAAGAGCAGATAGGCAAAGTTTTAGCACGTTTTATATCCATTGGCAAAGCATTCTATAGTCGGACAGCCTATACAGTAAACGACTTATCGTAGAAAGGTACAGTGGGTTACAGTACAGTGAGTTGTTACTGCCAGTGGGACAGAGATAATCTGAAGGATCGTGAATGTATCACTGAGGAAAACAAAGCGTTCCTTTAAATAATTGTGAGTGAGATGAAATTACTGTTCTATTTTTAAAAACTTTTTATGTTCATTATTAGGCTTAATTACTTTAATAAATATGGAATGAAACTACATAAAGTAAAAGTAGATCATATTATATTTATTATAAAGTATTACTTAATACTCTTTCAGTTTTAGTTTTATCATTTAATTTATTATATCTTAAACTTCGGTTAACATAAGAACTGCGAATGCAGCTTTGACAGACACGGTGACAGTATAAAAACAGACATCCATGTGGGTCACTCCATTATATTAAGTTGTACAAACTTTACGTTTATTTTTAGTTGTAGTACTCATTTCAGAGCTTAGTGAAATCCACAATTTGTATTTTAGTCGCCTTTAAAGTTAGCAAAGATCCATGCGATTATTTTCCATCGGTTGTTTTTGGCGAACATAGAGATGTGGGTGAACGTGATTGTGGTGGACACCGAGGGCACTGAGGGCATGGGCATGGAGGGCATGGGCAAGGAGGGCATGGGCATGGAGGACATGGTGGGCAGCAAGGACACGGTGGGCAGCAGGGACAGGGTGGGCAACATGGAAATGGTTGACATGGACAAGGAGGGCAGGGAGATGGACACGAGGGACACGAGTCATTATCAGGACATTTTGGTATTACTTTGTTATATTCGGCGTTTAAGGTCTTAACCGTAGCGTCAATACCCGTAGTCTGCTTAACTTCAGCTACAAAATTTAATGCCTTAGTTTGATTTGCAATTATGGGTACTACACGGTATGTTCGTTTTTCCGCGTTACGTAAACCATGTACTATATGCCTGTGGCACATTGGACAAAGAATTATACGCTGCGAGTCTGTGGTATTCTCTGTTGATTTTGCGGAGGGCCATGTGTTATTTAGTTCAAAATTTGGAATTACTTTATTTAATTCATCCTTTTCTACTTTATTTTCTGTTTTCATTTCTGTTGCTCGTGTTTCAGTTTTTCTCAATTCAGCTGAAGATTCATCAGCGATAGTCACAGGTTTTAATGATATTAGATCATTTATAGTTCTATCATTGCAACAGTAACCAACGTTTCCATGACACATTGGGCATAAAACGGGACAAGATGGAACTGATTTAGAACAAGCTTTTGAAGAACTTGACACATATTTCGGCACTACCTTATTATATTCATCATTTTTTACGTTTGACTTCTGATTCTTTTCTGATTCTGAGGTATGAGTTTTCTTGACGGTAACATCAGACACACCTGTCAGTTTTATTAGACGGATTTTATGTGTAGCAGAATGTGAGAAGGAATGCTTTTGGGTGGCTTTTGATGTAGGTGCTATAAGGTAGCGCCGATTTATTATGTGCTTAAATAATGGTGATGAAGAATCGGATCTTAAATAGTGGCTTGATGTGCAGAACAGTGACTTCATCGGTATTGAAGTTTCTGAAAATTTATAATGTTGTATTAGTAATACGTACATTTTTGTATGTGAAAACACAGCAATACATATCAGATTCATATGAGATGAGGTCTCGATAATCTTTTATTTATAAGCACAAAGTGATTTTATTATTATTTTATTGTATTATACGATATAATATTTAAAAAAATGGTACTTTATTTTTGTACCATTTATACTGGTACAAAACTCGGACTCTAAAGGCGTTGCTTCGAGATCATAGTTTTCAGTTTTTCAAATTTATATAGTAACATCTAACACTCACGGTTGATGCAGATAGGTAATTTTACTATTCCAAAACAGGTGGCCATGATTTAATTGGTTTGATTAAATTAATTTTTATTACAATTATGTGCTACATTTTTTATTGTATGATGATGTGACAAGGAATTGACGTAGGTTTTCAACTTAAATTATGAATATAAACTAGGCTACACGATTTGGATAACAAAGATTTTGCGCGTATTTTAAGAAAAAAATAGGAAAAAAATAATAGTCATGGATTGGATATATAGGCCTGTATGAATATTTGAATATATCGAAGCTGTAAGAAGTTATTTAATTTTTTGTTGAAGTTGAACGGGAAGAAAATAATGGTAGTCATTTGATCATGGGAGATCCGTTAAAAAAATTAACCTTGGGGATGCCGCTTTTAGGAATGATTATCAGATCAGTTTTAAAATGTGGGGACAGGCCCCATCGGGTCGTACGTACGTCTAGCAGTGGCAAGGTTTGTGTAAATTGGTTGAAATATGACAATAATTGTTGAAAATTTTGGAAAAAGCCACAATGGTCACCGCGCGCGTCTCACACCGGTGAAGCTAATATACATATTCAACGCAACAAGCTGATGCGAAAAAATATGTGTTCACAATATACTCTACTAACCGTGCAAAGCCGGGGGAGGGGGGTCAGTCATAGGTTGTGTTCAACACACTCGAGGATTTCCTTACTATAGATAGACTTACATGTAACGGAGCACCATGTGGTTTTAGTCGGTTTGATTCCGACTTACCACTTCACAGTGAGCTCTGGTATATTGAACTACCCGTGGGCCGTGGTGGTTTCCACAGGATAAAAAAGTTATCAATAGTAAGGCAATAAAATTTCATGCTTTCAATTAAACTTGACTGCAAGGCGAGCGTAGTGGTTTTAGCGGTCACCTCGCTCCTTCCTGTTACAAACCTTTGTGAGTTCTTAGTGTCCGTTACATGATTGTCTGTAAAGTCCACCGCGAGAAGGAGAAGGAAGTGTGGAAGTTATCTTTTTTTATATGAAAATAAATAATTTAAAAATCAATAAATAAAGTGTGACTAAAGTTACCATAGTATTGGTCCAGGATAGATACATAATATAATGACAGTAAGGAAAATAAAATCTAAAAGACAGCGCAGTTTTATTTGATTATATTTAAGGTACCAGCTAAGGTACCAGTACCAGCTTCACCCTCTGGACCCCATCCAACGAAGAGCGACTCGAATCATCGATAGCCCAAACATCTCGATCCCTTGGCGTTACGTAGAGATGTGGCTTCACTCTGCATTCTCTATCGCATATATCATGGAGAGTGCTCCGAGGAATTGTTCGGACTAATACCAGCCGCAACTTTCCGCAATCGTTCCACAAAGCAAAATTTTCATCTTCATCACCTGGATAGTTGGCGCTCCATTATTGTCCGCTTTTCGTGACACTTTTTGCCCTGCACAACCAATCTGTGGAACGGGTTATATAGGTATATAGGGTTATAGGTGAATGCCACATAGCCAGTGTTGCTGCATTGTGCGTGACATGTGATATGACACATTCGAAACAGCATGTTTCTAGCACAGGGTTGCCATGTGTATGAAATAAAATATGTTTTCTTTATTTCTTTCTTTTCTTTTCTTACATTATCATAACGCTGCAACTCACTAAACTTTATATTAGTCTATCTAATTAAAAATTAGAGTATACACAAAATAAGGAAAAGGATATGCTGGCAAAATTCAATAAATGATACCCAAAAAAATATTCTTTACAGCGTAGATGAGTGTTTTATGTACACACTAAACCCCAGCAAAAATAAATAAATAAACAAAGACCCCATGTAAAATGTACAAATAAGTATAATACCTGTATAAACATATGTTATTAAGTACAAATATATTTCTTACAATTATTATTGTATATTACATATTATTATATATAATATCTGTGTCTTTGTGTGTGGGTGTCTCAGTATGAGTGCACTTTCTCATTTTAAAATAAAAACACGTATTTTGTAAGAGTTGTGATATTTTTATGCGATTGTAAAGAAGACTTTCCGATTAAGTACCTATGGAATAAAATATCCGGCAAATCCGGCTCTGATGACAGGCCTCTTTTTATGAAATTTTCCATGACTTTTACACAGAGATGTGGCTGTATCTCACCGATGACGCGTTGGATCTCTGATTTGAGCTCAGTAATTGTTTCTGGTTTATTCGCATAAACCTGAGATTTCACAAAACCCCGAATAAAAAAATTGCACGCCGTTAAATCGCATGATCTTGATTGCCAGTTGGCATCAGAATTTCGTGAGATAATGTGGAAATCGTTGCTGTAATAAGGCGATTGTTTCGTGTGCGGTGTGACATGTGGCGCCGTCCTGCTGAAACAACATGTTGTCCAGATCCATGCCGTCCAGTTGACTACTCTTCGAATGGTTGACACATTAGGTGCACTTTCTCGACTGAAAATTGGGCGAAGTTTGCGAGCGGTTTCAGCGTTACTTTTCCCATTTTTGTAATTAGTTTTCACAGTTATAACGCGTTGTTCTTTCCAAAAGCGCTCCTTTCTTAATACTCGTAATAAACATAGGTGACAGTTGTCAAATTTCAGAGTTGCCACTTGCACGAAAAGAAAAAGAATCTAAATTTAAAAAGTGCACTCTTACTGAGACGCCCTTTATCAGTATACGTAGTAGTTATAAAGTATTTTTCTGAAATAAAATTCTACGATATTTATCAAGAATTAGATGCCATTACAGCTTATAAATTATTATTAGATAAAATTACCTTGATTTTTAACCTTTGTTTCCCAGGAACATTAAAACTAAACTGACATATAAAAAAACTTAAAACGTGGAAGACTAAAGGTATTATTACATCCATTAAAAATAAAAGGACCATTTACTCAAAAAAGTAGCCTTAAGAGCATCAAAGTGAAATACAAAAAATACTAGAAACCTTGAAGCACGTCATAAACAAGTCAAAAAAGATATCTAATATAAAACACATCACCAGCAGCGATAACATATCAAAAGCTACATAGTCATTAATAGAGCAACAAACTCAGGCCACAAATATATTAAAGCCTACAAAAAGCCTACAAAATAAATGCGAGATAATGTCACCCATTGATATCGCAAATTCTTTTAACAACCCTTACACCACACAAAATAACAATCCATTGGTGGATCAGGGCCTACATCAAATACAAATACACACACACCATATTTCTTTACCCTACTGATAGAAACGAAGTACTAAGCATAACAAAATTCTAGAAAATTAAATCTAGTTATGGCATTGACAACATTACAGTGAATGTTGTTAAATATGCCATAAATTATACCGTAGATACCCGTAGATACATATCATAAACGTCATGTTAGAAACGGGTACATTTATAGATGAACTTAAAATTGCCATTATTAAACCTTTACATAACAAAAGGGCCTAAACGTGATATTAACAATTATCGGCCTATCGCATTACTTCCTAGTTTTTTGTTTTTTTTTTTGAGAAAATCATACATAACAGATAATAATAATTTTTATAGACCGTTTCAATGTTTTAAATACCAACCAATTTGGTTTTCAGAAAAATAAAAGCACATCCTTAGTCATTTTTAAACGTTATAAGGACATATGGGATACTATGAATGAAAAAAAGAGATGTACAACCTTATTCCTAGATATGTCAAAAGCATTCGACTGTAAATTTTGATATTCTTTTAAATGAACTCAATCACATCGGAATTAGAGGTGCAGGCAATAAACTAATAGAAACCTACTTAATACGCCACAGTCATTAAATCTTTTGATAGCGATTCTAAACCTCTAGTCTCTATTAAATCAGAATTTAAGGAAGTACTACTAGGTGTACCAAAAGGCGCATACTGGGGCCGTTGTTGTTCCTTATTTATATAAATGACCTTCCTAATATAATAAAACATTTATGTGTGATGTATGCAGATGATGCTACTATATTTTTATCTCATGATCGGCCGTTTTATGGTACATGGCCGGTAGCGACAGATGTTTACTACGGTCACATCCTTCTTTGAGGATGACATGTCAAAGAAGGAGGAAGCGGATAGGGCCCGGGAGGATGACCTTCACGGCGGCGGAGGCGTGCTTACCAGCGCCTTATGCCGCCTTGAGTGTTCCTGCGGTACACGGGACGGGACGGGTTTTCCTCTCCACCCGCCATAACGCTCAGCCGAGGCGACGTCCGCGTGTGCCGAATGTCGCCTAAATAGAGAATGTACCCGAAGGTGATGCCCGTGTCATTGCGGGCATGCGCTAGAAGGGGTCTGGGTGTGTTAATAACTGTAGTTCCCGGATCCCTCTTATCACAAGCGCAGAGTGGTTTACCGTGTGGTTTTAGTCGGTCCGATTCTGACACACCACCCCGCCGTAAACCCCTTTGAAGTGACGACCCAAAGGGGTATCCACACGAAAAAAAAGACTGTCTGGTCTGACTTGTCTGGTACGTATTGTAAATACTAAAAGATGTCTGGATTGAAAATGGCAGGTTATTAATAAGTTCGATTGTACTTACATTTTAACGATTATTATCGTTAAAATGTAAGAATTATTATCGTATAAAAGTTAATTTGAAAAGTCACAACACTACGGTGAAGGTAGACTTAGTTTCAAAGTCACGTAGTTAGCTACGTGACATTGAAACTAAGTCTAAAAAAAAACATCTATTGTATATACTGGTTTCTTGCTTTGTTTAAAAAAAAATCATTTAAATTTAGCCAGTGAGAATGGTACTTGATTTGATTTAATTGATTGAAACAGTCGTTCACTTAAGTTTCTAGCAACTTAATGTTGTTTATGAATAACGCAATGTACAGCAAGGACATCTGGAATTTTATTTTTTAAGTACGCTATGAAGCCTTTATTCGCATCCTGTCATAGCCGGAGCGCCATCCGTAGCAACTAATATAATATTTTTCAAGGAAATGTCTTTCTCATCATAAAACTTTTCTAATGTATTGAATATGGTTTCGCCTTTTGTATCGATCTCTAAATTTCTAGTAAACAATAGTTCTTCACATATTTTATCATCTTTAATAAACCTCACGTAAGACAGCAACAATGCTTCATTAGTTGGTAAAGTGGACTCATCGAGCTGAATTGAGAATTGACTCGTCCTCAGATGATGATCCTTCAGTGTTTATTACTCAAAAGATTTTTTCTGATAATATCTGCGGCCGGTTTATGAAACACATTAGTTTTTACTTCCTTTATTGCTGGCAAAATAACTCTTTTCCGAAGTTGTGTGGTTGGCCTTCTTGAGTAATTAACAAAGAGATATTGCACGAAGCTCGAAGTCCGTCGTCGTCTTGCTTAGCAGCCACTGAAAATAGTTTTACTACACTTGGCTGAGTATTATGCTTCTTGTCTAGGTCTTGAAAATATGCTGCATTCTTGTCTTTCTTATCTAGATGCATTTTATTCAAATGATCTTCCAGTCTTGATGGCTTCATTGCTTCATTCGAAAATGTTTTTAGACACAGAAGGCACAAAGTCGACGATGGGTTTGTGGGATTTTCAATGAATCCCAATTTAATAAATTTCGCACAGTATTGCTGTCTCTTCTTTTTTACTTTACACATTGTTTTGTTTTGAGAAATACGTAAGAAAGTGTTGAACTTAAGTACTGCTTATCTACTACACGCGAAACCGCAACTGAAAATAAAATATTACGTTGTTTGTACAGAATTGCATAAGCAGCACGCACCAACGGGAATAAGATAACCATGCATAAACTCGTTTATCGTTAATCGTACTCAACAAGTAAGGATAAGTATTCTGTGAACCAGCCGATTGATACAGGAATGCACAAATCAGGTTATTTAACAAAAACTTGCTATAACGTGATTACCCGCGGTCTATTATCTACTAATAACTATTAAAATGCTCTGTTGCCTTGTTATTTGTTTGTTTGTGTCTACTTTCATTTCGAAACGGAGGGACCGATTGACATGATTTTTATTTTAGTTATTCAATAAAACAGGACAGATATATGAATTACGCGGAGAGAAATATCGAACCGAGTTTGAGCAATCTCTTAAAGCCTCTACACAACGCCCCTATTTCTTTTCTGGGTCTCTTACCGCCCCCCTTTAAGCCCGCAGCGCCCATAAGGGGGCGTTATCGCTCACTTTGGGAAAGGCTAGACTATAGTGACGAATGGGTATAGCTTTATTTTAAAAAACACTAAGAGAATTGTCTAGAACTTGCAAGCCACGCCCACTGTGATGTCGTCAGGACCTAGTTAGAATCACAGTGCACAGTTGCTTAGGACCTTTCCCCTAATTGTATTTGCTCCTTGGTTGTAAGCACCCCCTAAGAAAGGATAATTTGCAATTTCACCCATAAGGAGACAAAAAAGGGATGAATGGTTGTATGGCAGTTCGTCATTTTCAACATTACAAACATGAAATAACCACGGAGCGGGCAGGCGCTATGAGGGAGCCGAGTGTCTCAATAAAAGCTGTTTCCATTTCCCTTCTATTTAAGGCGCAGTAGTGCACACAGTTAATAGGTTCGATTCCATGACACCGCCCGATGACACCACCCACAAGAAACCCCGATGGGATGACGGTCTGATGGGGTTACCAAAAAGAGTGATCCATGAGTCACCCTTTCCTTTATGAGAATGAATAAGATGGTTGCCAGCTTTTTTATTTTATATTTATAAATTGACTGCAGAGAAAATATTAATTAGCATGTAACAAAATTTCAGAAAATTGTTCCAGTTATGAATGAAAGTTGTTGATTTGGAGTCTTCAAATTTTGTGTCATTTTTTAGGCTTTTTGTCTTTTTTTGGTGGTGCAGGAGGTTTCTTAGCTGCTGAATCTTTCTTAGATGCTGAAGATTTTTTAGCTTCTGTAGCCTTTTTGGCCTCAGAAGCCTTGGCTGCTTCAGCAGCTTTAGATGCAGCCGCTTTTTTAGCTGCTTCAGCGGCTAACTTTTTCTGTTCTTCTGCTTTTTTTGCTGCTTCCTTCTCTTTCGCTAATTGTGCTTGTATCGCAGCTTCCTTTGCTTTAGCCGCTAGTACTGCTTGGTGTTCTATATTCTTAATTTGACCATTTAATCCATTAATGACACTGTCTACTAATTTTTCAGCGGTAGCTTCTAACTTTTGCCCTAACGGTCCATTCACCAATGATAAAGTCATTGGAGGCGTAACCTCTATTTTGAAATAGTCCCATATTAATTCACCCGCTGATTTTGCTTTATGTGCACCATCTAAAAAGATATATGATTTATGAATTTAAGAATCATCATCGTGAAATGTACCTAACATTATTATAAAAAAGATGAAACTTATACAAGACAAATTATAAATCTGTTTGTTTTAGACAAATCGTATACTTTATAATGCGGCATTGTTATGGTTAAATTTTTTGTAGGATTCATCTATTAGTAAATCATTATTTTTTTCATTTTTTTTTTCATCAATTAGTAAAAGATTAAGATAGATCAATCAATCAATTAGTAAAAAAAAACTTAGCAAATCAAGTCTTAGCTTACTAAAGCTAAGACTTGATTTACTAAGTTTTTTTGGAATTATATCATTAAAGTTTAATTCGCCCATGCCCTTGCGTCTATAAAAAAGACATTTTGTTGTTTGTTTAAATATTTACTAATAATAATAATATAGTACACCTCGTACCTCTACAATATTTTTTATAACTAGTGACATATTATTATCATATCACATCACATTTTTAAATTCAACTTTAATATCTAATTTCATAGTCCACTGCTGTACATAAACCTCTCCTTAGAAAGGTTTTGGCCTATTATACCATGCTGATCAGATGGATATGGAGTTTGTTTTATGTTTTGCTTGCATTTGTAGTGCTGTTGTTCCGCGTAGTTTGCTCCCTTAGTCGGCTCTTACGACACCCGCGGGATGAATAGGGGTGGTGACACTCCGTATTCTTGATCCGTTACCACACGGCCTAATATTATAGTGAGCTATTAACCAATATACATACACAAAGCCACTCGCAATATTGATATAATCTTCGACATATTATTGTAAAACCACTATTTTATTAGTTACTTTGTGATTTCTGTGATATTGAACAAAAAACCACTTATGTCTTAAATTTGGAGGCCCAAAGGGATGTCATGCCATGCCAAACATTATGCCAAACTATTAGTTTATCATTTATGGTTTCTTCTATGTTTATATTATGGTTAATTTTATAATTAAACCTTTTTTCTTACAGTACGTGAGTTACGGAAATTAACTTATACTATAGTTAAACCGCCGTAAGCTTGGCCCTCCTGATGGTTTGCGGGACGCGGGGCGGGTGATGCGCTCGGCTATACATGACACGATGTACTGACTCGATATCTTCAGATTTATTTGTTTGAGATTTAATCTACACACGATGTAATAAAAATCGAATTTATTTCCATGTATTATAATGTCAGTGTATTGTAAGTTTTTATGATTAATTGTAAAATTTAATACTGTAAAATAATTTTAATAAAATCACCTTATCTTCATCATGTAAATTATATTCAGATACAATTTAAAAATTAAGTAAAATAATAAATATTCTTTATTAGAACTTTAACAGTAGAACCTCTGTAAGCCGAATTTCAAGTTTTTAAATCTTTTTGTGACGCAGAGTCGGCAGATTATCCCTGTTGCAAAATAATACCGTGTGTAGCAGTCTTAAGAAAAATAACACGTACAGCCATGCTTTCACGTCAGTCACTGCCGGCCACAGAGTACATTGTAATATACTGAAACTGCGGGGAACAGCGACGCACTAGCTAATTGGTTGAATGCACCCCCGCCCCGCGTCCCCCAAACCATCAGGAGGGCCAACCTTACGGCGATTTAACTATACACGAGCTGTGTAGTATAAACTGTTAGTTTGAAATTGTTATTTTTTTCATACTATTATAATGTATAATAGTATGAAAAAAATAACAGTTTCAATTGTAATTGTGACATCGGGAATGAAATAAGCCTAGCCTCTTATGTGAATCTGTCAACTTACGTTAAGTAAGAATAATATCTATTTGAATAACGCTCTGTTAAGTCACCGTCACCAATATGGGCTCAAACTAGACATGGCACAAAATCACAGTGAACTGTGCTTTATCATTCGATTTTTGCGTACGTAGGTTAGGGTTGCTAGATAGGTAGGTTAGACGCTATTTAACAGGAAATCTAGTATTTTTAAATAATTATGTATAGTGTTTTAGCTAGGTATATATATAGTAAAATAATTACTAGATTTACGGCTAACTAGGCGAAATATGGTCTTTATGCATCGTCTGAAAACAGCTTATCAGCAACAACGCGTGAGTAAGTAGTAACTCTAACCTACGTACGAAGAAATCAAATGACAAAATCACCGGTCTTTCTCAGTTCATTTTGATTTTGTCCCATGCCTAGCTTACACCCACTTGTGATGGAACACCGTGTTTTAAGTTCGAACATTATTGGGTACTAATATTTATTTTCCATAGACTAAATGATATTCATTAAAAAAAGAAAAGTATGTAGTATAATTTTAATTATTAGGAAAACAATAATTAGGTTATAGTACTAATTATAACATCTCCAAAGTAACAATTTTATTGTGCGACATTTTGAATCTATTTTATGGCAATTTTTGCCTCTAACATGAATCTTACTGCACTAAATTGCATAAAGTTTCTGTGTTCCTCATAATCGGAAAAGATACTAACTTCTGTAAAGCGCAGGAGCGCCTAAAAAATGGACATGATGAGTTCCTAACATATTGATGTACTTATTTATGTAAATATGTTAAATGAATATATAATCTTTTTTTTAATGAATCATTACAATCGATGTCTGGTAGAAGAGACTGCAAGGCCTAGGCCTAGCAGTCTCCTCGACCAGACATCGATTCGAGACTTTTAATTGTAGTCTATATAGCCTTTTAATTGCAATCGGAAATAATAATTAAAAAAAACAAAAAGTTAGTGGGTACCGCTAAGTGAGCTCTTGTAAAATGATACTTGGCAAGACGTTGTAGATGCTTACAAGATATGCATAAACGTTTTCAACTAGGTCCTAGTGCATAAGCATTAAGTACTAGGACCTAATAACCTTATTTTACGTTAACATTTATATCTTCTAAATGGTATGTTTTTTTTTTTAAATCCATTTTTACCAAACAGTATAAACAAATTCTATTCTATTTAAATATGAAACCTAGCGAATGACCAAACATTGTCGCAGCGAAAACTTGAATATCTTCGCAGTTTATTGACACACAAATTTCATTTAGACATACACAATTACATCACGTCATACACCACGTGAAACCATTTTTTTTCTTCTACGTCCATAGGATAAAAAAGGGCCGTCGTGAATAACTCCCCAATGGTTGGATGCACAAATTTTTACTTACCATACACAATTACACGACGTCATACACTAAATATCTGTTAAACTCAAATAATATAATTCGAACTTTTTCAGCTGGCGCAACGCACACTTCGCAAGTTGTTCAGTGTTCGTTCGGCACATATACGTTCCAGACGAGAGCGGAATAAACCGTGTCATAATACATAATGTCACCATTATAAATAAAATAATTACTTATAAGGGATGTAGTATTGTGGGTGCTTATGGAAGTACGCTAGTCAATATGCAATTATTGTTATTAATTCCATTATCCTGGGAACCTAGCACTTCCCACTTCAAACCAATACTTTGCTTTAATTTCTCTGTTCCGGTACTCTGGCAACTGCACTTCGTAAAGTGCAAGTCTCTCTCTCTCACTTCAAGTATAAACTGTTCAATGTCAAACATTATTTATTTTTGTACTTATATTGGTTGTACTTATAACGTTCTTGCTTAGCATACAGGCAATGCAGAAATGACGAGGGCAGGACGATCGCCGCGCTCTAGCCACGAGTGCGCCACGTTCCACGGTGAGCGCACAGCGTGCTTGCCCCCAGTAGCGTAGTACCACAGAGTTGTTCAGTAATATTTTTAGGGAGTAGCGACGAGCGCGCGGTGATACAACGCTGTTTTACTCGTTCTTAGCCAACCGTCGCGTCGCATAGCCGCTATAACATCTACGAATGGAGACACGTTCTAGGAATGTATATAAAGAAATACGTGGCACGATTGACGCGATTGTCAGAGAAAGCATTGATCAATTTGATGTTTTTGGAATTGTTTTTGAAGTTGTAGCTCTTTTGTACATACAAAAGCGTTTTATTACATCTATATGGCTATGACTTATTTGTAGGAATGCCTGGCATTATAAACCCATTCGGGGGGAATATCTTAGTGTCTGAAAAGAGATATATATATAAATAAATAAACAAAATGTATTTAAAGCTTCTTATTTCATGTTTATTTCATGTTAAATTGTACCTGAACGGAAACAACACATTAAAAAAAACAGATTCTTAGTTTCATAACATCATTAGAATACACACACAACACACGGTTATTTTTTATTACTATCAGAAGAGTTACCTTCCTCTATTCTTTTCTTAGTAGTCTCTATTTGTTGTTGTAATTCTACAATTTCCTTTTTCAGCAGTTGATTTCTAGCACTTATTATTTTTGATTCCATGAAATCTGTTGCTCCGGCGAATACATTTTCAAGTTTAGAAACCACTGGATTGCATACAAGTATTCTCGCGTTCGTTTTTGCAACATAAGTTTTAGCAGCACACCATGTTTTTGATACAACAGGACGAACTTTTCTTAAGGAACCTGATAAAAGTTGGACAATTATAAACTATTATATTCAGTTTCGTTTTGTAACATTATTTTAAGAACACGTCTCTGTACATACCTATAGCTATGTCTACACCTATTCTAAGTGGTCTTGCCATCATGGTCTTGAAAAAATGTATGTTGTGGTTTAAATTAGTTACAATTATTTCACCGGAGCCCTGTTTTGACAAATGTCATATGGATACTTCAACTTCAACTTTTGGTTAATGGCTTTGTGGTAGAGTGTAACCACAATTTCGCCAATGTCATGTATTTGAAAGACAAACTGTCGAAGGATTTTATGTAGAGCTGTGGTAGAGCCAAAAAAATATTGAGAATGAAAGAATAAGAATGAATAAATTGTTATCTTTTACAAGCGTTATATGGATAATTTTACAAAGTCGTAATTCATGACGGATACTACGACAAGAGAGGATGTTATTGCTATCAAACTCTTTTACTTTGTAATTCATTCCATCACTACATTTGTTATGATTTTAAACACAGATATATAGAGAACGTTTTTGAGCTTGATAATTAGGAAAATTGCTTCAGTGTTCTCGTTAATTTAGAAAGCTTACGGCTCTTAAGCCGTAGTTTCTGAAAACTAAAACATCAATTCATAAGTCAAAAACATAATAAGCAATTAATTTTATTTAATAACTCTTACCGTACTCTTATCATCAAAATATTTGCTTAATAATAGCATAATTAAAAACTTTAAAAACAACAACTGCTCATGGAGACTTCTAATAAGGGTGTATAATACATGGTATATATGCTGTAATTTTCTAAGGAGTTGGCTATCCCACGGTCTACTTGATGCAGCAGCAAGTTCCAGGTTACCATGTCGTGGAAATACCATCAAAGTAACAGTATACCTACTAGTATAATTTCAAATCAATCGGACCTGTGGATTTTAGTGAGATCCCTTCACCACGTAGAAAGTGAGCTTTCGAACCAAAAAATCCGCATCGCCATAGATAGACAGATACACTGTTTAATCTTATAACTCCCCTCGTTTTCCGTTGGGGGTTAAAAATAATTAAATTGAAAATATTTAAATACAGGAAACTGGTGACAAGCTTTTGCTAAGTGACCGAGGTTACCCGAGCCCGATCAGAAAAATCTCTTTGGTGGTACTGTTCTATCTGACTGATTTTAACATCGATACATATGGAAAAATAAAAAGTAAAAAACACTTGCCCGACATTTTTCAATTGTTTTTCTGTTCGCTAAAATAACCTGAAGTTTAAGGAAAAAAGAGAAAAGGCAAGAAAAAGTAAAAAACACTTTCTCGCCATTTTGCAATTGTTTTCCTGTTTGCCAAAATAAGTACATAGAAGTTTTATTACAAAAACTGCCCATTTAAAGAAATCTGACCATAGAAAAAACATCGATGTTTGGGTGCCATACGAGTTTAATGGAAGAATCCCAATAAATCGTGTTCTCATTTGCGCTACTCTATTGAAACGTAATAAAACCGAACCATTTTTGAGAAGATTTATCACTGGTGATGAAAAGTGGAAAGCACAAGAATGTGCGAAAAATAATGATATTATATACATACAAGAGGTAGACCAACGCACAAAACGTGAGGGTCCTAATTAGGACCACAAAAAGCGCACGTCCTAATTCCCCGCCACGGGGGCATTTGTACCACCATAGCCACTTTTTTTAATAAGCTGGTACATTGCGGAAACCATAGACACTCCGCGTGTCTCGTGGCAACACACCACAACTCTTTCGTTTGCACATCATCAATCATCATCATCAACAGCCTTTACTAGTCCACTACTGGACATAGGCCTCTCCTTAGAAAGGAGGCCTTGGCCATCTATACCACGCTGGCCAGACGGGTTGGGACAGGGTTTATTTCAAGTTTTCCGTCTTTTTGCAGTGTCTTTGTCCTGCGTAGTTTGTTCCCTTAGTCGGCTCTTACGACACCCACGGGATGAATAGGGATGGTGACACTGTATTTTTAATCCGCCACACGGATATTTCGTGTCGATTTAATGTCGTAAATTAATTCCACAGATCAAGATATATGTACATACAAAGTATTTAATTCCCATTACCTATTCAGCACTGACCGTTGCTTAAAATTATATTGCTGTTTATAAATAAAAGAATTATGATACGAGATAATAAGCATCAGAAAAGGACAGTAAAATTTTTGAAAGTTAAGTTTTAAATAGATTCAATTTTTTTTTGTTATTAATATCGCCATTTTATCTAAAAAAATACTTTTATTTAAAAAGATTTTTTAGATATTTGACAGTATAATGACTTTACTTTGTTGAAGTCTTTCTTTACTTTCGTCAGTCGAAGTTTGGTAATTAGGCGGTAGAAGAACAATTAATAAAATCCAAATAAGTTTTTGATTAAAGTATACATTCACATATGCTTTCAGTGTACCTTGGACTTACTATTACTACCGAAACGACATCGTTTTTACAATGACAGAAAATAGCCATATTGCTACGGATGGGAAACGTAACATAATATTTTTGATACGTTGTGTGATCCAACGGCTATCTGTTTTCCCACTATAGTTGTTTTAGAGTATAGAGATGTGAAAACTAAATAGTGCCAAGTTAAGAAGTATCAATATGATAGATTGTGAGAATATTTACACACAGTTAATAAGTAGGTACCTACCCTACACGAAATACACAAATATAATTCGCTCCTTTTTGTAGTCTTTTGTCTTGAAGTCAAGTCCTAACAAGGAAATCTTATAATTATTTATAATATTGTCATGTCGGTCAGGTCGTCTGTCCGTCCGTCCTCTTAAAGAATTTTTGTCGATCAAGGATGAAATTTATTCAGTGTTTTTAAAATTATCTATCCATTATTATTAGATTCTGAGATTTTATTTTGAATTTTCGAAGTTTTCAAAAGAAAACAGACGAAAATATCAATAAGACTATCCTAACTGTAGACGTCGCAGTACTTATTGATTGGAAGTGGTAAAATTAAGCCGGGTCGGGCGGGCAAAATTTTATAGTTTTTTTTCTAAGAAGAAAAATAGCGTAAGTTATTCTACACAGCTAGGCTAGCTAGACTAGGTAGTAAAATATTATCAAGCAGCCAAAAAAAAATTAAACTGGTTTTTTGGCTGGGTGGTTTAGGTTTAGTCGTTGATCGTTCATCGTTTTAGTCGTTGTTTACTCATGATTAACTAAGCCTGTCCACAGCTAAAGAGCTCTAGGATTAAATGTTGATGAAATTCTTGATCTCAATGCATAGATGTTTACAAAACTTACATATTTTGAAACTGGTAAAGAAAAGGTCGTTAAAAATGCCATTTCTAGACAAAATGTTACAATCCAATCTAAGTAATGTAAATTTAGTTTTAATGTAATGATTCATCAAAACCGAATCACAAAAAAAAACATGTCATAATGAAGATAAATGAACTAGTAATGACAGTGGTACCGTTAAATTATGCGGCAAAAATCATGTTAGTAACGAATAAAAAATGTTAGACGTCTTTGCAAGTAAATAATATGATGTCAATGACTTCCTAAGAGCCTGGAGTATGTTTAAATACCTATCGAGTGAAGTCAAATATTATAACGGCGGACTTAAAGCTGTTGACTCGGGTTCCCGGTTGCAGACAGGACGTTTTCAGACGAGTTCATTCGCACTTCGCAATGCAACATGTTAGGTACTCGTTGTATGAAAATTGAGTTCGATCAAAATTACACGACAGAGAGGGAGAGATAAAATCAAACTACAAGTGATTGATTTTTACACCCTTTTACACATAACAATTCAACATTTTTACTTAATAATATGATTGTCATTTTTGAGGAGGTTTTGACTGACGAGGCGTAGTTTTGTTGTACGTGTGTGGTTATAATTGTGTTTTTACACGTCAAGCTGTAGTTTTATTTGGCCTCACTTCTTTTTTCACAAACTATAATCTTAACTTTTTTATTTGATCTGACATATATTTTGTATTAATATTCAGTTAATTTAATTGTTATTATTTTGTTATTGTTTGATCATTTTCTAAAATTACTAATAAGTATTTTATAATGTAGCTTGATCATAAACACATATGTATTTATTGTTTTGTATAGTTTTAAAAGTCAAGCAGGATTTTGAATGCTATTAAAATTACTGCTAAACTAAGACATCTAGGCACTCAATTAAGTATGAGTGATTTAATACAGTAATAAAAAAAACATACGATGCAATCATATGTTATAAAATTATAAGATAAATGTATAAAGATATTATCTCTTAAAAACTAAAACAAAAAGAAAGACTATCTGCAGAATTATTTCAACTATATTCTGTTGCCTTCTTTACACACACATACACACACACTTCACATATGAAAAGAATCTTTACAAAAACATTCGTTATCTTACTTTAATATCATCACTCTTTAAAATTGACACTTGTATAAAAATGTAGTGGGACTGCACAACTCTTTTGGGTGTTGTTTCTTCTTAGCTCCCTCTGGTGCGTTTTGTTGATTCGCTCTGTTTTGAGATGGATTAATCAGGTATTACCAATTATAATAGATACGTTACGCCAATTTTACGTAAGTATAATTTTTATTTTTCATAAATTTGGCCCGAGTTTTCTAATTTACTAACTAGTTTTTCATTGTGTTATTTATGGAGTACGAGTATGTCCTCACACTCAATGTTGTCAGATCTTGCATTTGTGGGCTAATACTGCTTCCCTTCCCATTCCCAACCAATTGCCATTTTGTCAAAAAACAGTTTTCTGTAGTGATGTAGGTATATATAATATATGTTAAGTACAGGAAGAAAATAGGAAAACAAAATATTTTATTTAATTATTAAAACATTATTTATTGCTAAATAAATTGACAGGTTATGAATGGTTATATTATATAAATTATAAAGCAACCTTGCTGCATTTTTGTGCTGCAAATTCTTTTATTTGGTCATCGCACTGTAAGTCCTTTGTTAAATCGCAATTTATGGAAAGAACTGGTAAATGATTTAGTCGATAGTTCGACATTGTTGTCCTGTATTTGTTTTCTATATACGACATCCTGGTTTGGGAAAACATCAACAAGTTTCTTTTCATAAATTAGCCAAAAAAATTCACTGCAAGAGGTGTAAGACTCTGT